AATAGATATCAATGCAAGATAAAAATTGTTTATCTCCTACTATGTAAAAATCCATTACATATTTTTCTCGGATATTAGCGATTTCCGGAGTTATTTCGAAAGTTAATTTTGTATCTCTGTGTTCTGTTTTTGCGATGTTGCAAATCTCACATTCATTTATTAGATTTTGAATTAAATTTTGATAATCTGGGAAATAGTGGGTTGCTTTGAACCAATTAATAGTTTTTTCAATTCCTGGATGTAATAATTCTTTGTGCTTTTTTAATATTAATTCTTTGAATTCTGCGTATGTTTGAAGGTCTATTAATTTTGTACTAGTTTTCATTGCCTTTGTTGAATTATTTGGACTTATTATTTCTAAGTAGGCTTCTTGAAAAATTGGAAAATCTGCTTCGTTGTGGAAGTATAGCACACTTTTCTTTGTGCATAAGTATTCTTTTATTAATTCTTTGGCATGCGTATTAGTCATGTCTTTGTACGTAATTTTTATGTTGGTTTTGTGAAAGTAATTCGTAACTTTTGTTTCGTTCTCGGTTCCTTTTTCAAATTCTATTTGTCGATTATAATAATTAAGTGGTCTTTCTGTGATTTGTAAATGGTTACTGTTGTCTTCTTGAGCACTATGTATTGTTGCTCTTGTGCTAATTGTATCTTCGCCTAAGAAGTTTTCGTTTAATTGAATTCTGGACAGAGCATCTGCCACATAATTTTCTTTTCCTGGGACGTATTTAATTTGGAAATCAAACTCATTTAGCTTGATCTTCCACCTTTGTAATTTCATGTTAGGTTCTTTCATATTATTTAACCAGACGAGTGGTCTGTGATCACTAAGGATTTGAAATTGTCGACCAAAGAGATAGGACCTAAAGTATTTAGTGGCCCAAACGATTGCTAATAATTCTTTTTCAATCGTTGAATAATTTAACTCATGCTCGTTGAGAGTTCTACTTGCATAGCATATAGGCTTATGCTCTTGCGAAAGGACGGCCCCTATTGCCATATTACTTGCGTCTGTAGTTAATGAAAATGGTTTTTCGAAGTTAGGGTATATTAAAATTGGGTCGGATGTTATGAGTACTTTTAGCTTTTCAAACGCTAGTTCGTAGTCTCTGTCTTTTATATTGATTTTTGCTCCCTTTTTTAATTTAAGTGTTAATGGTTTTACTATATTAGCGAAATTTGGTATAAATTTCCTATAGAAACCACATAATCCTAGAAATGATTTAATTTCTTTTGGGGTTTTTGGAATTGGGAATTTGACAATTGCTTGTATCTTGTTGGGATTTGGTTTTATACCCTCAGTTGTGATGATGTGACCGAGAAATTCAGTTTCTTTTCTCATAAACTCGCATTTATCCAACTGTAGTTTTAAGTTAGCTTCTCTAAGCTTCTTAAATACCTTTTGTAGCGACAAAATGTGTTCCTCCAATGAAGTGGAAAAAATAATAATGTCGTCTAAGTAGACCAGACAATCTTTAAAAATTAAATCTTCTAAGAGATTGTTCATACAACGTTGGAACGTTGCAGGTGCATTCTTAAGACCAAATGGCATGCGAGTGTACTCGTAATGGCCATGTTTAGTCGAAAATGCGGTCTTGGGTATTGAACCAGGATCCATTTGGATTTGGTGGAAGCCTTTGGCTAGATCAATGGTTGTGAAATATTGACATTTTCCAAGTTTGTCTAATATTTCATCCATGATCGGGATAGGGTATTTATCATTAATAGTTAGTTCATTGAGATTGCGGTAATCTATGACTAACCGGAACTTTTGCTTTCCAGATGCATCGTTTTTCTTTGGAACGATTATTACTGGTGAGCAGTAAGGGGATTTGGATTTACGTATGATATTTTGTTTTATCATATCGCTTATTTGTTTATTTACTTCCTCATCGTATATTTGAGGATATTTGTATGGACGCTTGTAAATTGGGTCCTCATGTTTTGTTAGAATTTTGTGTTTAATTGTACTAGTGAAAGTCAAATTGTCACCTTCATGGTACTGGATATCACGAAATTCATGTAAAACTTTTTTTATTTTTTCTTTTTCTTCTGAGTTTAGGTGCTCTAGCCTAAACTCATTGTTTTCTATTAATTCATTATTAATAGCGAAGTTAAATGGTCTGTCCTCTGTTGAGGGTGGATCAAGGCACTCTTGTGCGGTCATGTCCTCTTCGACCTCTTCGTTGTTATATCTAAAACAAAAGTTAAATTCTCCTAAGGTTACGGATCCTTGTGCATAGTCTATTTTTGCTTGACATGCCTCAAGGTATTCTCTCCCAATCAGAACATCATAATGCTCTGAGAAGTCGTGAATATAGAATTTTTGTTTGCTCGGACAAATTTTGCTTGCTCCTAATCGTATACTTTGTTTTAATTCAATAACACCATTTATGGTGTGAACCTTTAATGTTTCGTTGTAAACTGGAAAATTTAAGCGGTTAGTTTTCATTAGATTAATGGTTGAACCTGTGTCGATGACACATTTTAGAACTTCGTCATTCATAATCAATTTTATGAATGGATTTCTTCTGTTTGTTCCGAGGCTTGCTGATGAAAATTTTCGGATGTATCCATTTTCATCTGCCCACTGTTACTATCTCTTTGACGTTTAGTCGGAGGGTTTGGTGCATTCAAGCGTGAATGGGACTGATTTTGGTAGTTTAAGGGATTTTGGTATCTACCTTGACTTAATTTCTGTTGGAACTCGTGGTGAGCTTTCTGATTGTCTTCGGACTTATTGTGCTGTTTATTTTGTGCGTGATAACTCTGATTTGTGTTGGAATAACCACTTGAAATGGTGGTTGGGTTAGCATTTTGCTGATAATTTCCCATGTTCCTACGATTGTTATTTGGATTTCCCTGAACATTATTATTTTTAGGTTTTTCAGTAACGCTATTTTCATATAATCCCTCTCTTTGAGCTACTTGCTTTAGTTTTTGTGTCGACGTAATGTCGTGTCTGGCTAACATCATGAAAAGCCTATCTGGTAATTTTTTTGTAATAACATCTTTGATTGTGTTATTCATAGCATTTGTATAAAGGGTTGTATTGCTAGGTATATTTTCTAGTGCTAACTTATTTAAAATAACAAAAGATTTATTCTCGAGCTCCTCGATGAACTTACGGACGTTTCCTTGGTAATTCGTGTTGTATAAGCGTCGAAGGAGTTCTTCAAATGGTGTCTGCACTTTGTATTCTTCAATCAATGCGTTTCTCAGCTCCTGCCAAGTGTTGGCTGCTGTCCTTTGTGATATTCTCTGAGCATCTCCTGTGACTTGCAATTCGATGGCTCCGTATAAGATGCTATGTTGTCTAACATCTCGGGTTGGATACAGGTGTAGGATGTAATCTATCCTTTTAATGAAGGCGTTTAGTTGATCCGTTGATCCGTCAAAGCTTGGCACCTGTCTAAGTTGTGAAAGGGCCTGGTTGAGGTGTTGTTCTGATAATTCCATTGTCATCTTGGTGTAATACACTTTTTTTTGAATAGTTTTGAGTTTGTAGGTTTGAACTTTATTGTTCTTTGATTTTGCACTTTTATTTTAAGTTAAAGTTTGTGATGGATTATTGTGTAAATGTTTTTTTTTTTTTTTGTGTGTGTGTCTTAAAAAGACTCAGTAATAACGTATTGCAGGGATCAAACGATATGCAAAGCCAGTCGTTATTAACTGTAGTAGCTTTATTGCCCAAAGGGTCAATATTATTAAGCTACTAATGACCCGAAGGTTCTTGTGCGGATACGTATTCGAGAAAATTTTTATTACACTCCGACAACACTTTCGGTCGCGATTGTGCGTTAGATCTGGGAATTAATTATCCTTTAGCGATCTTTAATTTTTCCCGACGTATCCTACCGGCTGCGCCAATTAAGTTTTGCACGTTAGGTTACTATAAAAAAATATATTTCAATTTATTATTTTCACTTAACGGCTACTTTTGTTGAGTACATTCAGATTTGCTTCCCGAATATGAACTAATTTATCTAACTGTTGCGGTCGCTTAGCAAACTTCGCTTTGAGAGAGTTTGAGTCAAAATTGAGTGAAGTTTGAGCTGCGTCAGCAATTATGCGTGGGATAGTACTCTGATGGGAACATTGACAGTGGCGTGATATTTAGGGTGAATTGTTTATGTCTACCAAAAGGGGGACAGTTTGATCTTGACCAATGTCGATGTTATCACCAGGCTCTTTGTTTACAATATTAGAAATGTTTATAATTGTGCTTATGCTTATGTGCTAAGTTATGTTAAAGGGTGGGTGCGACTATGGATATGTCACTATATATATATAGATAAATATTATTATATATATATATATACAAATATGTGAATATATCAAATAATTTATATGAAAATGTACAAATAAATATACTTACAACATATGTACAAAAACACAAATTGCTCTTCTTAAATAAATCTCTTATCGTTTTTAAAATGAACATGTACTTAATATTGTAGTTTTTAACCTTTTGGCAGGAAGATACAATTTATATTTTTAATTGGCATCAGCTGCAAATGGTATACACTAATATGCACATCAAGTTATTTTCGGTGATTAAATAGGGGACATGCCTAAAAAAATTTTGGTATTAATGATAATAGAGATTATGTTTAGTTACTGATGCATGGTTCTGTTGAAATAATATGTTTACTTTATTTTCTTTATAATACCTATATTACCATTCTTCTGTGTCGAAGGTATGATTAATACAAACATGCAGATATATATAGTTATTATAGTTATGCTTTTTTCGGAAGTTTAAAAGTAATACAATTAAATAATTAAATAAATACTTTTCTTGATTGAATATAAAATAATTTACTAGATTTGTTTAAATTAAAAAGGACTAGGAACCATTACAAAATATAAAATAAATGTTCCGAAATCAAATTAATTTTATACATACTTCTGGGAACATATGAATTGAAAGACCTATTATACTTAAATTTTAATATTCATAAACTTTATTCTATTATAAAAATATATCTAAAATAGTATTTTAGTGCCAACGTTTAATTGGTGAAAGATATGGTAATTGAAATGGAAAGCAGAGAACACAAAAATCTATACAACTAAACATTTCGTGTGCAATCCTGGTGTATTCTGATCAAGCTATCAAATGTTAAAGAATTTTTCCTGATACAATTCCCAAAGTAAAAGAAACCGAAAAACATTTTTAAAATTGCTTGATAAATATAAAGTTAAGTTTAACTCAATATGGCTAGCCACCTTGTCCACTGCCCATTGATTGTTGTTGCTGCTTTTTCTTGTCGAATATGGATAACTTTGACCTGACTGCTCCTTCGCACACCATAATACGCTGTTGAGACGGTTTCTTGTCCAATTCAAAGCATAACGGATCGGTATTTAAATGTCTTTTGAAATCTGAATATCGATGCGACTCACATGACAGATAACTTGAGCCCAGCGCGGAGGCAGCTACAGCAGCTGCAACACTACCATTACCACTACGAGTATACACCGAAGCCGGCAAAGATTCCTGTCGCTTTCGTTCAAAGTACTCTACAATTTTGGCTATTTGAGCAGAACGCGTACTGGGCAATGCGGTAAAAGAACGATCATCCCAAAGAAGAGAATCCGAGCTGATGTCATCAGAACTGTCCGTGTAGATGGACGAAGTGCGGTTCTTGCAGTAAAGCAATTGATTCGTGGAAAACGGGCTGCGTTGTAAAAGGGAGTGTATCTCCGAATCAAGAGCCAATCGATTGATTATTCCAGCTGTCCCTGGCATCTGTGGATCCGCAACATTAGCACTTACTAATGGGTGGTGACATGTATAACGACGATATGGTGTGGGCGGTGGTACAATTTCAGGATCCAATTCATCTAATGAATCTAATGCTGTTGAGGAGGATGTGTTACCGGCGATTGCTGCAGTTCCGTTATCTAAAAGCAAAAGAGATGATGAGGTTGTGGGAGAATCACTCTGATGATGTTGTGCGACTGCAGCAGCAGCCACTATAGCGGTGGTTGAAGTAGGGGTTGCATAGTAACAGCAACGACAAAGACCTGCCAGTTTATCACTGAAAATGAAAACGTTAAACGACATCGACTTTTACGATCACAAAGTGCTTACTTAAGTTTATGATTTGCCAAAGTTTCAATCCTCAGCTGTGATTTTAACTCGTCGTAGCAGCAGTTGCTATTGTTGCCACTGGCGGCGCAACCGACAACTAACGATCCGATGCCGCATAACTGTCGGCTGTAACTAGTGGTGGTTGTAGCTGCATCCGATTCTTCATTTAAGCACGAAAAGAAACCACTTTCAATAGAATCACGCCGGGTCTGGTTTCTTTTTGGGGGGAGTGGCTCGCAGGAATTTTTTTGTTCATTCGGCTCGCGGTCAGTGAATGCAGAAACTGCAGCGGGTGTTTTTTCATTCTGAACGAAACATGTAGGAGTCGGGGTTTTGGAATGCTCTTTGCTGTACTCCTCCCTATTTTTTTCACTATTCAAATCTGCGTTTATTTTAAGAGGGGGCAACGTGTTGGTGAATGTGCTTGTTTTTAATAATGCCGTAACTTCAAGCTCGCTTTTACTGTACTTCATAATAGTTCCGCTGTTTCCACGAAAAAGTGGATGTGTGTACAGAGAGTTTGCGCGATATTTACGTGAGACTGGCATTATAGATGGACGTATAGCGCTGTCATCACTGCTGGACTCAGCATCAGCGCAATTGCCTCCTCCATCAAGATCTTCACCTTCTGAGTTACAATAATCGCAATCGTCAATATCAGTAAGAGCTGATGTTACAAGAGAGGCTATTGCAGCCGTTCCAGAAGCTGTCGAATTGCTGACCCGTTGAGGCAACTTCAGTTCGACAGCGCTGTACTTTCGCGTCAGTTGTGGGGAGACAGGTAAGCTCTTTGGTTCGCTGCAAGTAACTGATTTTTTCGAAGCACAATGATTAACTTCAATTTCAGTGCCAGGTGCCATGGTTTTACCCTGCATTGAAACTAGCTCCTTAAAAAATGGAGCAGACATCTCAAAGCACGAGCTAAATAAATCACCCACGCCCGCAGCGTATGTCTTTGGATTAGCGCCCAATATCTTCTTTATGCCTCGAAGTTGTGCTAGCGCCGTAAAAGGGTTTGGTTTTACCCCGTTGTGATCCTTAGTTGACGATGGTTTGTATTGCGGATCCTTAAGGCACATTGTTTCACCCACTTTGCGAAGCGTTAGAACTGCCGGTACTGGTGGCAGAAGTGGCAGTGTTTCCGACATGTTCGTAGTTGGTAAAAGCACCGCAACTGTTTGAGAATCCCCTAATTGTCGTGGTGGCGTCGGCGAATGCGTAGATGATCGCTGTCGTTGCATTTGATGACAACGCGCTTTATCACTGGGTGATGTATGCAGCGGAAAGTGGATTATGTTCTCACTGAGTGAACGGCGGTGTAGCAGAATTTCTGCTTCTAGCTTCTGTGTAGCACGACGAACGCGTGATTTTAAAATATGTTCGTCGTATTCGCTGCTCCCCGCCAACCAATTTGGCGTGCATGGTAAAGCCGCAGAAGCTGATTTACAACTAATGCCTGTACTGGGAAAACGAAAACCATCTTCATCAACGTCTCGTTGGTCACGCGGTGTCAGCACACCAGCTGGTGCTGTATAAATATTAGCAACAGTTGGCGCAGTGCATAAACTTATCCCATTTTCTATATCACTACCGTTCAAAGAATAATTTATTAATTCCAGCGAGCTTAGTGGGCTCTCGCATCTTGACTCATGCTCGCACTTTTCTAAAAGCAGCGTCAGCTTTTTAGTTGCATCACGGAAAGTAGGTCTACTTTTAGGATCGTACTGTGTTAAAACAAGAAATTTTAAGAAATAACTTAACAAATCTATACATCTTCAAGAACTTACGAGACAACAGTAAAATGCAAGCCTTAAAAAATCAGGTGGTGTATCCATTGGACAGAGCTCAACGAACGCCAGATAATCAAGACCAAATGAAGCAGTGCGTGGCATCAAGTCTGGGTCAGCTTCGATGCGTGCGATAATCTCGCACTGAATAATTCCGAAAGAGAAAACATCACTTGTCTGATCGTACCATTGACCCTTTAAACACTCAGGACTAACCCAGTACGGTGAACCAACAGTCTCTAAACGCGATTTACCGCTGTAAGCAAACAAATTATTATTAGGATAAGAAAGATTCATATTTAATCATTAACAAAAAAAATATAAATATTTGTCTAAATAGAACACACATGTGTACTTAAACATATTCTTTGTTTGGAAATGTATTGAGCATAAAAATTAAATCATATATAAATAGAAACTGTCAGATATTGAATATACTTACGACTTGACTGGTATTTTAGCGGCCAATCCAAAATCACCAACAACAGCTTCATATTGTCCATCTGCAAGATTACGTATAAGCACGTTCTATTGGGAAAACATTTAATGATTTAAGTATGTTATTTAAAAACTTTGTGAGCTCACCTTGCTAGTCAAATCTCTATGAAAAATGCCAGCGTCGTGAACATAACTCATTCCGCGGGCTATGCCCAGTGCCAGTCTTACTTTCTGGGCAGCGCTAAGAAATGCCTCTTGGTTAGCCAGCAATTGCTCCAATGAACCACCGTTAATGTACTCGGTCAAAGCATGTAGTTGTCCTTCTTGCACACAAACTCCCATAAAGCTTAAAAAGTAGTTGGTGTAATTATATTATAATTTGGAGCACAAGGATAGAAGTATGGAATTGGAGAAGTATAGAATTGGAGAAATTGTTCAGTTTGGTTAAGATATATTAGAAAGCAAAATGTTTTCGATACAAAAACTCTTTTTTTTCGGCCTAGATGACCACTCTTTATAACTCTTCTCACATGTAAACAGCGTTCAAAAGATACATTCAACAACAAAAAAAAAGCTGTCCGATGCTTTTAACATTTTGATTAAATCTAACATAGAATTGCATTTTATATTCTATTATTAAAGGAAGTACGCTACTTAGCGATCTTAACTTAATCAAGCTTAGGACCCTAATGAGTACAAATACTCAGCAACACATTAATTATTTTATATTAAATAAAATGTTACAAATGTTACAGATGTTTTTTTCTTGTACTTACAGCTGTAAATCACGTTTAGAGACAGTATTTTCAACGTAGTAAACTAGGCCTTCACGTAAATACTGCGCTAGCTATCATAACCGTTTTTTGTGTAGGCAAACTATTATGATACGAGCTTGAAAGCCAGCAACTCTACCAACACACTGATCCCGGGGAAAATAATCGTATATTTTATTATTGGCTAAATTAAAAATGATTCCTCAAAAAAAAAGTATAAGCCGCGCCTTAATTTGTATTGTGATGGGACATTTTAAGTATACCTGCGGATATATTCAAGCCCATCAGTTTCCAGGTTTTAAAACAATCTTGCTTAAACCAGGCAAAGACTTATCTTGTTGCAGGTAAGTTCAGGCAGATTGGTTTACCATTTCAAAAAGTTGATATTGGCGCTATTGGTGTTTATGATATCAAACAAACTCAATTTATACTGCCTGCCTTCTTTATGGAGTAGCATATTAGGAAAGTTCTTTCAAAATCTGACTACTATATTATGTAGAATATCAAATCTCTTATTTGCCCGCAAGGGCATTTGTCCTTTGAGACATCCGAACAACTTTTTTTTTTTCAAGATGTAAAAAAGGGTCTATCAAATTCAGTAATACTATTCCGAATATGTTATTGCTGAAGCACACTTCTATTACATATATAAAATTATAAGCACTTACCTTAATATGTTAGCATGGGACAATTTATTGAGCAACTGAACTTCCCGCAACATGTTAGGTCGATTGGCGCGCAATTGATTCATTTTCAGCACCATCACCTCTCCAGTAGTTCGATGGGTGACCTATATATATAAAATCAATAATATATATAACAAAGTTGTGTACTTGTGACCTAAAACCCAAAATTTATTTAGAGGACTCTAGTTGGGAGTACTTGACTAAAAAGTTACCCTGACTATACATACGCAGCGCAAGTGCTAATTCTTCAGCCTGTGTCACGATATTGGATGTCAGATGATTAATTGCTTCAATGTTTGTTGTCTGATCTTTATACATTTTTTACTGTATGGTATATGATATAATGATCCCATGTTGATCAAATTTTACATATACACGAGATCTAATAAATGCAGAGTTTGGTAAAGATATCTTAATAATCAATGTGTTCTATTCAAACTTAATTTTCGACCGATGGCAGCTATATGCTATAGTGGACCGATTTGAATTAGATAAGTTATATATGAGGAGCATATTAGAATTTATAAATGCCAACTATTGGTAAGATATCTTGATAAACAAAAAGTGTTTACAAGAACCTAGCTTTGGACCGATCATTCCTACGGCAGCTATATATGGTTATATGTTATATATATATGTATATATGATATGGTTATATGTTCTGCCTGCAAAAAAAAGGCGAATCTATGCTAATTCGCAAGACGAAAGAATAGCAAAATACAGACGGACATGTCTATATCAACTCGGCTGATCTAGAATATGTATATTTTATGGGATCGAAAATGTCTCCTTTTATGCGTTGAACAAAAAATTATAATACCTTAACTGCGGTACATGTATATTTGATTATTTGGGTGTTCATACGACGTTCACTTTAAATCTACATGTCCTTTTTCTTAGGTAACAAACTGTGATAAGAAATTAAGTATAAGATATACTTAATTAGGAAAGTCGGACTTAAAATTTATAATTTTCTTGTTTAATAAAAGTGTTTATAATAATATCTATGTCACAGCGTCTATTATTCGTACAGGCGATTGCTGTAGCTTAAATACTTGTGAGCTATGGTATTTTCACTTTCAACTATGTGAGAAATAGCCAGTGCGGAAATAAAACAAGAAGCAATTGGCAACCACCATAAGAAAATCCTTTTTGCACCAAGATTGAATAGTAATGTCAAAAACCAGTCGGCTGCCTGAGACGACTTTTAGAGGCAAACCTGACAGCAGGTTACGAAAAACCCGCCTTCTGTAGTTTGTTACACGGACAATTAACTTGCAGGTTTCAACTCTGTTCATACGGGGATATTCCCAAACAGAGAAACGAGTTTTATTAAGCGGCATTGACCACGTTTGACATCGATTGCATCGGCAGCGAAATTTTTTAACTATTTCCACATGCAATTTTGTTTACTGTTAACAAACTTTTAATACGATTTAAAGCTGATTTTCATTTTTTATTTTCAAACAAGTTTTAAGTCAAAAGTGATTACCAAAATTTGAGGATCCCATGCACAGTAATTTTTTATACCCTTATAAAGGGCATTAAAATGTTGTCACCTAATGTGTAATTCAAATAAGGAGACATCCGAGTTAAAACATTGTCTAGCTCCATGTTTTAATTGTATGCAGTACAAATTTCGGAACCGGCCAGATCGGACCACCTATCATGTATCTGCCATAGGAACGATCGGTCGAAAAGTAGTTTTTTATGAGAAAAACCTTGTTTTTTTAAAATATCTTGACCAACCATGGCTTACGTTTCCAGCTATGTTGCTTATATATGAGTCAAATCTTATTATGATCGCACTACCTTATTCGATTGTATGGCAAAATATAAAGTTTGCAAGATATTTGTTATCAAACTCAGCATTAATAAAAAAAAACTATTCTCACTACAAAACCGTAAGACAAATGTTTGCAAGGTATTTATATCATCCTTTCTTTGTCGTTTAAACATTTAAAACGTTCTTTGGCTTATTTTTTTGTCGCACGATGTCATACAAGCAAACATGTACAATGCTTGTGTGAAAATGCGTGTAACAGGCAAAAGAAGACATATTCTATCGAAATCGATATCAAAGTCATGTTTTTTGCGAGAATATTTCTAAGCTCACAGACACTAAATTTGATACGTGTACTTTTGGTGAGTTTACACAGATATAAAATATTTTACTTTACGAATATATCAGCTCTTATTCCACTAACATTTAAGAAAGAGAAAATTAATTAAAATATTTTTAAATTTCTTTAGGATCGGGCAAAGGAAATAAGCAACATAACTACAGCGCAAATTGCAAACAACAAGCGGTGTACTTGCGTGTGAGTATGATTGTAGAACGCGTGTGAAAGCAGTTCGGTGCGGGATTCGAGAAATCTCCTAGTCAGGCAAATCCGTACTAGAGGACCCTTACTTGTTTCTTGCTTAATTTCAAGAGTAGGATTGTTGCCTATTTATGCAGGGCTCTATTTATTCTTATTTTGCAGAATAGTGCTAGACAAGGCGATCGTGAATGTGTCTACCGTTTCTGAGTTCTGACCAGTAGATTGAGGTCGTAGCCATCAGCAAAGTAAACAGTTAGTCTTGAATGGAATTTGGCCCAGTTTGCTTTCTTTTACGCCTGCATCGTGTTTGTCTGTATCTCGTCTTTTAACTTGCTTGTCGTTATTTTGGCACGGTTCTACTTTGTTGTGCAGCTCATCAACGGCAGAGCGAGCTTTTATATACCTCACTGCTAAGATCAGTTATAAACAAGAATACCGAACCACTAAACGGTTTCTGTTTTTTATTTTTTTTTCCTTTTTTAATTACAATGATGTTTAACGTGTTATTGCCTTATAGTCAGAAATAACAAGTGTGATATGTAATTTGGAACAACAGAGAAACATCGAAAATAGTATCGTAAATGACTTTTTCGATCAATATTAAACAGATCGCAAGGTAGAGTTATAGAGTTATACACACAAAACATAGTAGTAGATAGTAAAGCTATGATACCTATTACTCTTAAAACTGTGTATAAGAGCTGGAAACCTGTAACTTTTATTTAATGGAGGTGCACACTAAGGCCAATTTTTAAATTCGAGCCTTCAACCTTTAACTTACTTTCAAAGGCCTTTATAAAAAATAAATGATTACGTGTTTTGCAAATTTTCAACTGTTTTGTTTACCATTTACCATTAGCTTTAAACTCATTTTCAGCGACCTTTGTGTACATTTATTTAAGACTATTTTTGCAAAATCTACTGCTCTTGGATCAGCCAGATGTTTAATGAACGAAAGTTTACTTTTCAACGATGGACTTTTAATATATCTTCAAATAGATGTGGAGTTCAAGGCTTGCCACGGGGTATTCCCGATTTTAGAAACATATGCTGTTTACATGAAATAAGAAATGGATACAAAAATATCTGCACTAAATGACCCAAGAGAATAAGACTGCTGAGACGTTAAGACTCAACATTTGAGCGAAAAAGGTTTTACAACAATTTGAATATTAATTATTCCAACTAATTAACTTCAAAATAAGTTTACGAAAAGTGTTTAAGCTTTACATGTGCTTACTCAAAAGCACAATACAACATTTTTGCAACGTATAGCCCGTGGTAAGCATAACACCAAGCAAAAAGTGAAATGCAGCAAGTATCAAATAAATAATTGCTTTTTACACCACAAAATAGGTACAGTTGGCTGCGCAGTTCAGGCCAACTGCATGCCAACTAAGCCGCGCTTCAGCTCATTCAATTTCACATTTCAAATGTGAGAAAAAATTATTTATTTATTTTCCAATGGTGTTGACGTCTAAGAGTTGGTTCGCTCTTTACTTTGTATGAAACCCCTGTGCCATTATAATTTACCTCAATAAATACAATAACCATATAAATGTGTGTATATATGTAATATATACTTCAATAAAGTACAATAACCACATCACCCTCACTTTTTATACACGAAATTTTCTTATTTTTGTTTCATTAATTTTTTTAAGCTGTTGCATGCAGTGCGAAAAAGAAAGTGTAATTTAAATGCATTGTTTTAAGATAGATTTATGTAAGATAGATGCATAAAACGGAAAAATATCAATTAACATTGTAATGTTGAACACAAAATACTCTATATTCATCATCTGTGAGAGTTATTCCTATACTTTAGTGCATATCGGTGTTACTTATAAATGCTCAGTTTTCATTAGTTTACCCATTTTAAAAGAAAATTGTTTTTATGTTTTATATTCATAAATTATACCTTGAGTAGCTAATTAAATATTTAAACATGAAAATGTCAAAAAATCCCGCATTAAAAAATAGATATATACAGATATTTTTCTTATGTCGTGCACGAACAATGAGCCCAAATATGAATGTAAGATTTGTATACACGGGTAAAAGTTGCTCCTACTAGATTTATAATATATTATTTAATCTTTAATTTGCATTTTAATTTGCAAAAAAAAAAAAAAACAGTGTTACATTGAAATTTTTCAATAACGACAATGATTTTAAACAAAGCATTTGACTACAGCTATAACAAATGACAACGGTACTGATCGGACTGTGTGTGTGACTGTTATGTAAGGTTTAACTTACTTTCGGTAGCTGGTTTGGGTTTCTTATGCTGCGTTAAAGCTTTTGGTAATGAACATGTTTTTGCCTGCTGATTAGTGCGTTAACCATTTTGACTTTTCGCCAAGCTAAAAAGTTGTTAAGTAAATTAGTTTTTCTTCCAAATTTTTGGTCTGGCATTTGCACAAATACTACTACCTTTCTCCATTCTAGCTGCTTAACATTAAGCAATCAAATTTGCTAGATTACTGGCTAAAATGCTGAAAACAAAAACTTAACCGTATTTGCAAGTGTTAGTGAGGATAAAACTTTTGCTTCTATCTAAGCATAGCCCGACACAGAACTGTTAAATAACATTATAATCATTAAATACAGTGTATCCCTAATATTACCTATCCGCGTTCCAACTGCTAAAATGCGGTGCAAAAATGTTATCGAAAAAGCCAAACGGAATAACGGACAAGTGAACGCACTTCACACACTATAGGCATGCCCCAGCATGGTGTGCATTAGTCAATGCGTATCTAAAACATATACACAATGGGTAACTTAATATGAAAAAGCGATCGAACGATCGTACAATGAACTGAATTATAACAGAAATTCATACGCAAACATCGTCTATTTAAAGCCCTTTAAAGAAAAAGTTACAATTCAATTTTTGTCAAATCTTACTATATTAACATCAAAATTCTCTTTTCCCTATGAAACTGAAACGAAAATACCACATTAATAAAAAATGAGAAAATTTGGAAATTTACGGCACGCAGAATAGTGACGCTCGTAAATGCTGAGATTGATCAAAAATATCGAATATCTATCTAATATCTATCTAACTTTTATATGCCCGGTTTGGTCAATAGACCTTGATACACAAAAATATTTATGATGTAGTTTAACAAAATTATAATACCTTTTACAAGGGTATTTTCTTTTCGACAAGAACCGACTTTGTTTTCATAGCTACATGGTATAGTGGTTCGATCCGACCAGTTCCGAACCTATTTACCGTTTTTAAAACGATACATTTAAAACTATTAAGCTAGTTTTTATAGAGAGAGACAGACAGACAACCGGTCGGACATTGCTATTTCAACTCGGCTGTTGATGCTGCTCTAGAATATATTTAGTTTCTCGAAGATGTCTCCTTCTATACGTACACATATGTTGTATGGATAGTGGTATCATATTTTTATCACCCATTTTCTATTAAATATTTTGCTCATGTCCAATAACAATGCTTAAAGTTGTCCCCGTCAATTTTATTAAGGAGTATTTAACATATAAAAGGTATTTTTAATTGTCTTCTTTCCCCAATGGGCTTGGTAAAATATTTCTAGATCAATTTTCAGACGAGAGACGAGACTGATGACTTTATTTCAAATATACATTATATATACAAATAAAAGAATGCGCTTCAAAGCAGGTGCCAGCAGTCAAGAATTAATCGAAAGCATTCATCTGCTTATGTTTTGCTTGCGTTATACATAATCGTTTGTGTGCATGCTTTGTTTTTTCCTTGTAGCATGTAGCATTCCCAATTTAAACAAGTAAGCGGTTCTAGTCTGGAGCTCCCGACTAGAGGATACCCTGAACCCTCTTCTTCCAACATCAAATGCATATATATATTCTATTTTAGAAGTAACATATCATGTTTCGTGACTCTAGCTCTGATTATTTATCAAAATTGCCCAAAAAACAGGATATCGATAAAGATTTTTATCGATTGCTTGGAGACGGAGTAAGTTATCGATTATCGGAAACAAACTTGATCTGCACAGGCACTAGGAGCACCTACATCTAATTTTCAAGTCTATAGCTCTTATATGTTCTGAGATCCTTGCGTACATACATACGGACGGACGGACAGACAGACGGACATGGCTAGATCGACTCGGCTATTGATGCTGATCAAGAATTTATATACTTTATGGGGTCGGAGATGCTTCCTTCTGCCTATTACATACATTTGCATTTTGTACAAATACAATATACCCTTTTACCCATTTTTAATGGGTTCAGGGTATAAAAATGTAAGCTGTATAATATATATGTTTGCATGTAATTACAATAGCTGCCTGTTGAAATTATTTATACAGACCAGAATTTTCATTTTCAAGCATTAAAAAACAAAATCTACGTGAACCAAAAAGGTTTAAGCCGATTCTAGACCGGATTGCAGCCCTGGTTAAGATACCTTAAAAATCAAAGAAGTTCATCGAAGAACTTAATCTTTTCTATAGCAGCTATGTTCCGGGCGGTTCCGATATATATACTGCCTGCCTTTCGTGGAAATATAGTTAAAACTGAGAAACTAGTTTGCATAGAAACAGGCAGACTTTGCTATATCAACTCGACGGCTGCATATGGGGTACAGAAAGAGTTTACTATGCTTTAATTACCGCAAGTAAGAAAATAATAACTTTCCATAAATACTTAAAAATATGCAAAGTTTAAATTTAAGCAATTCAATATTTAAAAACATTCTAAGATTCTCCACTTACCCTGTAAACTTCTGAGAAAAACCCGGAACCAATTTTTTCCTTGACAAAATCATCCACAGAATATAGTGCTGAGACAGCAGTACGCAGCGCGCGACATGAAGAGCCTGTCACAAGTCGGTCAGAGGACATTGTACGCATTACCGATGCCGGTGGAAGACCGCAACAGCTAGAGCCATTGCCAGTACTGAAACTTTTACCGTTACTGTTACTGTTATCACTGTCATTGAATACTAAAGGCGACGAATCAGCCGGCGGTACATCACTATTTGCCATTTCGTTCTGACAAACCTGCGGACCGGCAACTCTTAATGACGTACACATGCCTGCTGTGCTTTCCTGCCACAAGGTTTGCGACGAATCCACTTGATCGCACGACTTATCACTGTAGCTGCTACTGATCTCTGGGGGGCCAGGTCCACTATGTTGATTAAGGCTCATAATTATCAACTACGATGTATGTTTTTATGTAGCAGGTATGATTTTTTGATGGATTTAGTAGGCCTAGCGGAACAGAAGCTCTCTTAAGCTGCGATAGTTGAAAAAAATCACATTGGCCACATTCACAACAAAACGGCAGGGTGGAGCAACACGAACACGAACACGAATACGTTTTATGTTAAGCGATCAAATTTTATATTATTTTTTTTAGGCACGACGTACAACACTTTAAAATTCCTATTTGGCGAAGTAAATTGACAGCTTAGAGAAAAATTCAAAACTCAATCACAACATTTTTATTTTATTGCGCTAGAAACTCCAGAAACGGTGATGTCATTTACAGATCCGGCAATTTGGCACAATTGTAGGAAGATTTTTGCATTGGAAGCGCTCCGGAAGCCTGCGGGAAAGAAAGAAAATAAATATACAAATAACTTTTTACATTTCAAAATGTTTGCTTCAAATTAAACTGTGGTAGAGTAAGACACAGAAATATATACACGCGTATTCAAATTTCATTTAAAAAATGTAATAAGGACTGCTTGAAAACCACCTTCCGCTGTTGGAAAATGCGAGGAATTATATTGTATTTGTTTTTATTGGATCAGCTACAAATTAGTTTTGAAAGATTTATAGAAGAATTTGAAAAAATCCATTTGGTGGAAAATTAAGAACCAATGTTGATCGTAATTGTTAATACAGTAAGAACTCTCTTGAGCGGACAGGGAATCTCAGGCATTTTTTGTTTACTTAAAAAGAGTATCCACCAAACAGAGGAAGAATGAGTGTAGCTTGATTTATAATGGGAGAGAAAATGTTCGACCAAGTGGAGTGTCCGCCAAATGAAAGGGGCATGAGTGTCCAAGTGAGGTGTACGCCTAATTAGAGTCTGCCGCGCCTTCACATCTGTTATGACAAAAAATAAGAATGTTTAAAATGAGGTTTGTACTTCAACAATGACTTTCTGATTAGACTTATCTGTATTTATTCATACACTAGAAGCAGAAAAACTTCAATTTGGACATATGCAGTATTCTTTTATTAATTTATTTATATTACACAGCAAATTAAAAATTGTTCGCTTATGAAAAGAATACTGAACAGCATTTGTATTGTAAAATCAACTAATATAAACAGTTTGCATTTTACATATTCAAGAAAATATAATCAGAATTTTAATAAAGCCTATCCTAGTACAATGAAACTGCTGTATTTCTGTACTTACAACTTTATTCTTCAGAAGTACGAAAAAATATTGGTGAGCCGAACTAATGACATAACATATTTTGCTTTAATCACAAAAAATAAAAATACAGCTTGGCAATTTCATTCTCGCCCTTTTATCAACAAATTTGCGATAAGATAGTAGCAAAAATAGCCAAGCAAATCTACAAATTGGGTAGAAAAAATGGCTAACCAGCAATGAAAGCCAATAGATATTAAAAGTGTTGGACAAAATACCCAATACTCATAGCGTATTGGAAATAAATTTTGTTTCCACGTGATTGGCTTGTGTTAGAGATGGAAAAAAAAATTAAAGCACTGTGCTGGTGGCTCTAAGGTTCTAACATCTGCCTATGACATTTCTTCAATAATGGTCGTTAGTAGTCTAAAACATAAGGCCATCGGTTTTATTCTATTTAATTATTAATTCTATTATTCTAATTTAAAACATATATTTTATTAAACATTTTTAGGTATAAGCTTCTAAGCTGCACATAAAAAACTAACCCTATTCAGAAGAAGCAGTGCACTTAGACGCAAAATATAAACATTTAACTATGGGAACTGATTAAAAATATATATACCTTCAACACAACGTTATATATTAAAAGAGTGATCGAGTTTCCGACTAGTATATATTCGAACTTTCACTTACACATATGTACATATCTTTTCTATCTTTTCATTCGCAGCTGTATATAAACGAAAATATACTCACGCAGTTCAGTTTTTAAAGAGGATGTGTGCCTCTCTACCCTTTACCTCCAAATTTTCCAAGTTGACTTTGCCCAACTATATAAATTCGTGCTTATAGAAGCTATGTATATTCTAAATCATTTTTTTCTCTTTATACGCTGAACCGCAGGACAATATTAAAAGATAGACAGCCAAACCTCCTTCTATAAAATCAATGTGCTGAGTTTCATATTGGGTTCATATTTGTTGACCATATATTGGATTCTAAAGGCTAGACATGCGATTAAAGATATATTAAATAATACATCAATTGAAGATAATGATGTATTATGTAAAAAATAAATTTCGAAAATAAGAATGGATATATTTTTCCTCCATTATTTATGAATTATTGAGGCAAGTCATCTATTCCAACGTCGCAAAATGTACAATTTTTTTAAATTACCATATAAATTTAATTATACCTTAGATGCAAGTAGAATAGACTAGAAGGCGTACGAGAAAAACAAACGAAAGCGCAAAACACCTAGTATGCAGAAACTGTCAAGGCAGAAAATAAATGCAAATCAAAGATGTATTTATGATTCTTGTCGACCACCACGAAATCCAATAAGTATAAACTGAAATTCTGACTCAAAATAAATACATACATAAATACTGACTCCAATACATATACACATAAGTAAAAACATATTGAAAGACAAAAAACATCATGGAAACAAAAATGATAAATGATGATTTTACATATATATATGCATGTGCCAGAATGAATGAATTCACACAATAAAAAATGAAACATCTGTCGCAGCATTTGCATTTTCCATTGAAAAGTGACTTTCCACTAAGCGAAAGATACGTTGGTATTGGAAATCGGCAAACAGTATAGACTAAGCTTCTCATCATCTATGCTAGTATTAGTTTGCTAAAAGTGTGTGTGTTATTTTTACATTTCCGCTGCTTACAAAAATAGGTGCATGAGTGTTTGTGTAGCCCTCCACACTAAACCGCATTCCAAGCACACACACACAGCCACATACATAAGGCCCATCAACATAAAGGGGTAAAAGCGAAGCAAACCTTATGCATATATTCTAAACAAAATTATAGTTTAATTTATTAAAAATATACACCTTTTTTTAATATAAGGAAATTCTTTACATCATTTGATTTGGAAATATTGATGTATTATCCCAGGCAAAGGTCACATCTATGGCAGCAATTCCGAAGAAAATGCAGCAGAAAAGAGAATAAAGCATGTACACTCACAAATATATACGCTCACAAACACGCACACTCATTCACGAGTCAAGCGCAGAAAAACATTCAAAAATATGTTTGTATTTATGGCTTTACGGAAGAAGTGCAACAGAAAAAAGTTAAGAATTATTTTTTAATGCTCACATTGATAACATATAACAACCAAGCATTATTTACCATTTTCTTTAGTTGCTATAATCCAATAAGTATGTAGTGCATGTACATATGCGTTTCTGCCTGCGCTGTAAATATATTAATATGAACACAAGCACAAAGTGGACACATAAGCCTTGCGAAATTTGCGATTTTTTATAGGAGGTAAAAATTTCACAAAACAATGCAGTCTTGTTTACTGCGTACTGCATACATTTATAATCGTGACTTTATTAGACATCTCAAAATTCACTGTTGCGTTTTATACAATGCTTTTTATGTCGGTCGAAAAACGTAACTCCATTTGACACTACTATTTTCTTTTCTTGAATTGCTTCCTTTAGTATATATTATTAAACTTATATTTGCACTTGTGAAAAATCGTTCGTAAATTGTTACGACGCGTGACCACGTCAAGCTCCGTTTCTGCCTCGATAATTTTAACAATTGATTTAGCTGTGTGACCGCACTTGGCAACACAAACTCACCAACAAAAATAAAGTATTTTAATCTCTTAGGACATTTTAGTATTTTTCGCATCAATGTTAATACCGTCTAAGATTATCAATTTTCGGTCACACTTTAATTCTGGTTTTGCTTATCGTACTAGTCGAACAGAAATGTATGACAACTTGAGTTGAACATTTTTTTAATTAAATAAAAGTTTACTTATTCATTTTTATATATTTCATATACTTTCTGGCATTAAAATTATCCTCTACTTCATCCATAATCTTGACTTTTTTTCGCGGCTTTCGGGCCTCTATGCGTGACTTGCGCTCCAAATCCGACAATGTACTCAGATCCAATGGCAGCTATATTGAACATATAAATTTGTGAAACACATATGCACATGCGAATAAAAGTCGTCTTATATAATTACTTTTATTATTTTGCGGGGCTCGTGATATCGAATGTTAATAGTGGATCCGTCTGGATGTACCACAACCGTCGGATAAATGCGGCAGTATACAGAACGATGCAGCCGTGTCACCGATGCAGTGGCCGAGGACAGGGCACGCGTATGTTGTAATCCTTGAACACAAAGCTTAAGCATTTTACCCAATAATGTAAAAGCAAATATTTTTAGGCGGATTTACAGCAATTGCTTCCCAAAATTTGTGTTCGATGAGTGTGACCAGTTGTTACCAACAGAAGGAAAAAATATTGACAGCTACACTGCCAATCGAATTTCGAAAAAAAAGTACTCGATTGTTTTTACTGTCAGAATCGATAATTATTTTTGTTAAAGTAAGTGGTGTGAAAATCGCATGTAAAATAAAACTTATTAAAATGTATTAAAATTATTTGGGAAATTACATTTGTACATCTGATACGAATAGGAGAAATAGAGGCTGATAGCCCGACATAAACATTCTCAATCGTTTTATTATATATTAGTTCGTTTGTGTTCCGACAAAATTACATAATTATTGCAGAACAAATTTTCAGTGCAAATTCTGAACTGGGAAGTTAGGTTGTAAAAAAAATCTGTATATACCTCATGATACTTAAAAGCTTTAAAAAAGTGCACCAAACTGGTGCATATATACCTCCTGTTGTGATGTAAAAAACTAAAACTACGGAAACATATTTTTGTACTTTTCAGCGTTTGAAATAATTATGGCAGCACGCCGCATCACTCAATCTTCGATCAACTGGTCTGCTCTGGCAGAGCGTGTGCCCGCAAGCCAAAAAAGCAGTTTCGGTGCCTTTAAGACTAAGTCGGACATTTATGTGCGCGCCGTGCTGGCTAATCCAGAGAGCCCACCAAAAATTGATTGGGCATACTACAAACGCTTGATACCCGTTGCTGGTCTTGTTGATAGCTTCCAGAAACAGTACGATGGCTTGTCCGTGCCCTACCCAAAGGACAATGTGTCGAAACTTGTTGATGCTGAAATCGAGGAATCGCAGTGCGAAATATCCAATTACAAGAAAGCTTCTGAGCAACGCATTCAGAATTACCAGAAGGAAATCGCTCATTTGAAGGCATTACTCCCATATGACCAAATGACAATGGAGGATTATCGTGATGCATTCCCCGAGAGCGCTTTGGATCCGATCAACAAGCCAACGTTCTGGCCACACACTCCAGAGGAACAAGTTGGTTACAAATCCAAAGAACAGTTGGAGGCCGAAGCCCATGGACATCACTAAACGCATATGTGCAAATAGTTCAGAATTGAATACGTGTTTTAATTCAAATAAAAATATAATGAATTAAAATCAATATCAAAATAAACTGAGTCGAGCTGGCATTTCGTCATGACTTTTTGGTTACTCATTTTCAACTATCGAATGTTATGGATATTCAAGATCTAAAGATTATATATCTATTGACAATACAATAGAAGACTTGTGTATGTATATATAGCGAAAAATGAGCGAATATTTGTATATATATTTTTTCGCTAGTATACGATATATACATTTCATATCCATTATAAGAACTCGGCGTAATTTTGCAAATTCTACATCTTACGCTAGGGATGAGTATATTTACATAATATCGCTTTGGCCATCTCTAATATTTTTGAACAAAGAAAGAATAACATTAACATTTGAGGTTCTGTTAGTGATGTTTAACCCAATAAAGTCTTAATCCCTTTAAAGGACAAACTAACTAGTCTTGGCTCGTAAGTTAGCCATTTTTGTACAAACTCTTGCGCAGTTCATTAGGTTGTTTAGTTTTCGTATATGTTAAAAATTAACATCAGAGGCTAGATAGTGGAACTAGATGAACGACAAAAGTTCGCTCAGTTTAGTGTGTCGGCCAATCGAACATATGCAAATCGATTTAATGCAGCTAAAATATTTTTGATTACTCATAATAATAGTTTGCAACATAAATTGCACATTAAAGTTGGTAGTAAAGTGAAAATTATAAAAAGACAAAACAAAGTTACTCTGATCGGCTGCTCTGCATGAACTATTTAACGATTTTGCTGTGCAATCGTAAACCAACGATGCTCTCGCGCCGGAGCAAGGATAAATCACAGGCACATAAAGAGGGCGTAGTTGGGAAGTATGTAAAGAAGGATACCCCACCGGAGATACCGGTGATAAATGTGTGGACTTCCTATTCCGATCAACATCAACGTGCAAAAAAGAAGTCTTTGCAGAGGTGTGCAAGTACTTCGCCCAGCTGTGAGTTTAAGCCGCGCAGCTCGAGTTCTAGTCGCAATACGTATTCTTGTAGTGACGTTCAGCCGGATTACTATCACGCGCGCAGAGCTCAAAGCCAGTTGCCGCTTAACAATCAGCAATCACTTCCACCACAGGGTAACACACAATTTCGAGGTGGCAGCACCCAGCTATGCCAAGGAAACAGTAACTACGTCAACATTGAGCAAATGGATCGTATGCGACGTCAGCAGTCATCGCCACTGTTGCTAACCAACAATCCAACAAGGGGCTTCCAGCGAAGTTATTCTACCCAAAAGCCCTCGCAACCGCATGGGGGTACAACTAGCTATGACGTCGATCATGGACTTCTTAACACCTCCTACGCAAATATGATACAAATGCCGCGTCGACCACGATCACCTGCACAGTTCGCAATGCAGCAACCTCAAAAGCTCCTACATCACCCTTCCACAACATTTGGATCAGTGATTCGATTCGAGTCGTCCACAATAGCAACAAAAGATCAACCACGATATCCTCAGACAAGGTAATGAATAGTTCATTGTTCATAGTTCATACTCAATTTAATTTCGAGTACACATTTTCAGGTCACCATTGGGACAACATCATCAGCAACAACAACAATTGGCAGCGCATATGGTTGGTGGTTATTCCAGCGATTCGTATCCAATATATGAGAATCCGTATCGCGTTTCTTCCATGCGGGCGACGCATTCACAGCGCTCCGAATCTCCAATTTACAGTAATACAACAGCGTCATCAGCTACGCTTAGTGTTACTCCACATCATTATCATCATTTACCTGTACCCTTAGGTGGATCTCTGAGTGGTAGAGGCGGCAGCATGCGTGGCGCCTCTACTTCAGTTCAATCCCTTTATGCGCCACCTCTCACGCCGCCTGCATCCAGTACTTCAACTGCTGGAGATACCAATGGTAACGGAGCGTTGCAAAAAGTACCCTCACAGCAGTCGCTTGATGAGAGCGAAGAATTGCCACTGCCGCCAGGTTGGGCCACGCAATACACGTTGCATGGTCGGAAATACTATATTGACCACAACGCACATACAACGCATTGGAATCATCCATTGGAGCGCGAGGGTCTGCCGGTTGGTTGGCGCCGCGTTGTCTCGAAACTGCATGGCACCTATTATGAAAACCAGTATACCGGGCAGTGCCAGCGGCAACATCCATGCCTTACATCCTATTACGTTTATACCACGTCAGCAGAACCTCCTAAAGCAATACGGCCCGAAGTACCAATGTATTCACCACCTTCACATACACATACCGCATTGGTGCCAGCCAATCCCTACCTACTTGAAGAAATACCAAAATGGTTGGTTGTCTATTCTGAGGCGGACTCCTCCAAGGATCATCTGCTGCAGTTTAATATGTTTAGCCTGCCTGAGCTCGAAGGCTTTGATAGCATGTTAGTACGTCTCTTTAAGCAAGAGCTCGGTACAATCGTCGGGTTCTATGAGCGCTATCGGTGAGTGTGTTTGGCTTCAACTGTAACGCGATTTTATGGTATCTGCTTTTCTTTACAGTCGCGCCTTAATCCTGGAGAAGAATCGACGTGCCAATCACAACAAGCTACAATGATTATACAGGATAATATACCGGACTTGTTGGCTGTGGTAGTCACATCCAGCTTTACGAATGTGAAATTCGCACAACCGGTGTATTTTTACAACTTACTGAGATGTTTTTTCAATGTTTCGGTAGTTCAGTTTGTAAACTGTGATATTATTTGACTTAAAACGAATGAAAAATGGTTTCAAGAATATGAGTAATTGTGTTTAACCGAATTAAAAAAATTGTCTATGCTTTCAAACCGATATACATAGTTAGCAATTTCTTAAACATTATCTTATTGTTATTTTAAGCTTGCGTTTTGGTGTATGCATATTAAGTTTATTAAATTCTTGTGTTTTAATAAATAATAGATATGAAATACTATTCAGTCCAACAAAGACTGTGAAGACTTTGACATCTCAAATAAGTGATGTGAGTTAAGTTTATCTTAGTATATATATGTACATTGGAAAGTACATATAAATAGTAAATGCTTTCAGTGTATGTGTCTTCTTCCCTATGTAAATGCTCAATCTCAGAGTCTAAGACAAAAATATACTTATTTACTTATACTTGTTTATATTTATGCCATGTAATCTTTAATTTCAATTGTAGAGTCCCCAGAAGCTCGCTGATATATGTCTATAAGTATAAATTATATGTGTTCAATCCGACTGCTTATCCGGCGTAGTTTAAGGCATACCGGCAATTACATTATAAGATTATTTATAGAAAACGAAGTTCTATTTAAATACACGATATTCAACTCAATTCAACTATGAAGTGCAAAAACAAAACCTACTTACAATCGTCGCACGAAAGAGCTGTTGAATCGCGCCGAACCCCACAGCGGCGTGAGCTTCGTTTATAAGTATTGGCGCTGTGCACAGTGCCTCAGTATCTTGATAGTCGTGCCGACGTTGATATCGCTAAACATATTGAAGCTACCGATTGGTCAATTATAATTTCAACACGTTAAAAGATACAAGAAATGGTTATTAATTCGGTTCGAGCTTGATTTACGGCACTATTTTATAACACGATCAGTGCAGAAATATTCTGCCAATATATAGCGTAGATTTTTTGGCATTGTTATTGCTCGAAAATCAACAGTGCTTTCCAATTCACAAGCTTCCAAGTGAAAGTTCTAATCCGGCTGCATTTTGTATCGTTTATTTATACAGTTGGTAAAGTCAGCAAATGTGGATATTTAGATATAAATAAATTCACGCACATACAAAATACGAAGCATGCGAATGTATTCATATTTATATACGCATATATACATACAAACAAAAATAAAGAGTGTGATCAGAAATATTGCATTTATGTTCCAACGTGACCAGTTTTCGGTCGGCGCAACTCGGCTTGTACTTTCAATTCACATTCGAAATTCCCATTATTATATGAAGTGTCTACTAATTTAGATATTTTTAATTATCGCAACGCATTTATCGGCGTTTGAATTGCCCAATTAAGAGGAACGTGCACACACTGATATTAAGGCAATAGCCAACAGCAACAACTGTAACAAGCCGATTAGCGTTATCAAAGTAGTGATAAGTGGCATTTCAGGATGTTGTATACTTTTTTTAAACAGCTTTTGCAAAGTCATCTGTTATGCCATAAATGAATAACTTAATGAGTAGTCGAAAAAGTTTTTTTTATTTAGTGTAACAAGCCATAGTTAAGGCGGCTTGATTTATAGAAGCACTGCTATATATTTTTTTCTGTGCTTTTTGTTTTGTTTTTGTTTGTTGATACATTTTTATACAAACGCCTTTTCATAGAAGAGATACACTTGGATATGTATGTACGTGCGTAAGAATTTGGCTCGTATAGATTGTTGTTCGTTTGGCTTATGCTTGCAAAAAGCTCGATTTGATTGCTAGCTATAAAACTATTGTGGACCGTATAAAAATAATAAAGAAGGGTTCCTCCACAGGCCATTTAATTAATAAGCAACATTAAAGAAATATCTGAGGTGTTTAATTCCCGTTAAGAAAGTAATAATATAAGACATTTTATATATGTATATCCAAAAATTCTTCAAAAGCCTCCTACATTAACTGTGTGCTTGCACTCTGTGCTTTCCTGTTGATTGCCTGTAAAGTCTGCCCTGCATGCTTTTTGCGTTACTCTCAATAAGCGCGATGAAGATATATCAGCTAAAGAAATTGTTTACTGACTTCAATTGATATACAATCTACAATCTATTGATATAAAGTACTGCAATTTGTAAAAGCTAATAACTTTTAAATTTTCATCATATACAATTGAGGCCTCGTACAGATGTATTTTATATTTTCGTGGCCACTTTTGACTTATATTTTAATAAATGTTATTTTTTAAAATACCGACTTAAAATTGGAGACTTCTTAAATTCTTTACTAATTCAATTTACACGTTACGATTCTTAATGTTACTTAAAAAAAAAAAACAAGGTGTAATTATAATAAAATGGTAATGATACATTTAATTTGCAGGTGTTCTAGAACATAAAAGAAACAAAAAAAAAAAAAAAAAAAACGAATATTAATGCAAAATGGTGCTTTGCTTAAGTTATTTACGGCAAACGCTTGTAATATTGGCTAGTAAGTTTTTAAAAAGTATTTTACCAAGACAAATGCTCAAATTTATTTTAAAAATGCAGTTGGTTTTGGATGCGCTCAAGAAAGTAGTGTTTTTACAGTGAATACTCATGACCTGACGGTGCTGGTGAATGCCAATGAAAGCTTCGTAATTTATGCTAGGTGAGTACTACATTAATCTTGCTATTTATCAGACTAATTGAAAATCCTACAGCAACAATCTTGCAGACACTGTTAACTTAACGTTAGTAAAACAACATGAAGATCATGTGGATTTGGATCCTGAGTCCTTCATATGCCGCGCAGGTATCTCATACAATGAAACTATTGTTGTAACGGGTCAGGCAGCCGGTCATGTAGAGATCACTGCAAGTAGTAATTCCAGTGACACATGGATGTGAGAAAAAGTTTAAATCATTTGACATTTTTATATGTGTATACTATTTTCAGCACCGATGCAATTTTTGTGCGAATCGTTGTGGCTAAATCTCAAGCTATTATTTACACTTCCGTTATTTTTGGTTGGATATACTTCGTGGCGTGGTCAATATCTTTTTATCCACAAATTTGGATCAACTATCGCCGCAAATCGGTTGAGGGATTAAACTTTGATTTCTTAACTCTGAATATTGTTGGATTTACACTGTATAGCATGTTTAACTGTGGACTCTACTTTATTCAAAGCTTACAAAATGAATACGGAAATAGACATCCTCGTGGCGTTAATCCAGTTCTATTGAATGACGTGGTGTTTTCATTGCACGCAATGTTTGCAACAAGCCTTACTATTGGACAGTGTTTTAAGTATGAGGTAGTGGTGAATCAATTGTAAAAGCTCCTAAGATTAACCAAAATTTGTATTTACAATTAGCGGGGACAACAACGAGTCTCAAAAACTGCTTATGGTCTCTTGATAGTTTTTGCCCTTGTTGTGGTCATATCAGCGGGGTTGGCCGGAGGATCTGTAATTCATTGGCTAGATTTTCTATACTACTGCAGGTTCCGATAATGAAAATTTAAATATTTCTCGAGCGCTATAATATTATTTTTATTATGCAGCTATGTAAAACTGACGATTACAATCATAAAGTATATACCACAGGCCTTAATGAACTATAGAAGGAAGAGTACTATAGGGTGGTAAGTATGCCAATAAAGAAATTCTCTAACATTGTGTACATTTCCTGATTTGAAACAAACATCTTACAGGAGTATTGGCAATATTTTATTGGATTTTACCGGTGGCATTCTGAGTATGCTACAAATGATATTAAATGCATATAACTACGGTAAGCAAGTAGTAGTAGCATTATTAATATGTATAAACTAAAACCGACTGATTTTTGTTATTTATTTTTAGACGATTGGGTTTCAATATTTGGTGACCCGACGAAATTTGGTCTTGGTTTGTTTTCTGTGTTGTTTGATATATTTTTCATGCTCCAGCATTACGTATTTTACAGGTAAATAAATGTATATATGTGTTTTAACTAGTATGCATTTCAGTCACAAGATATTATTATTTTCAATACGCTTTTACATTTTTAGAAGCTGTTGTTAGCTTTCCTTTATTGATAAACTATTTATGTTTTTCGGTTTTTTCAGACAGGCAAATAAGTCTTCAATTTCTTCTCTTACGACGGACACCGAGGTTCAAAGTAATGGGCAACCGAACAGGAGAATTGAAAAATAGTGCTAAGCTAACTTAAATATATTGTTGACAACAATCTTGCGAGCGAAAATGACTCTCAAAACGAACTTCACAGAAGGATAACTAAGAAGTAGAGTTAAACTTTCTTAATTATATTGTTGACATTAATCTGTAATGCTTAATTTTAATTTGTACAATACTTTTTAATCTACTTTAGTAAACGAAAAGTGTCCGTACATTCAATAATACATTATATGCTAACATACATGCATACATAAATATATATTTTGTTTAAAGAAATCTTACTTACTTACTTGTAGAGGTAGGTTTCGCGCTGGTTGTGCAATTTGTTTACTGTCAAAGTAGCTAAGCCAAATTAGCAGTAGGGCAGTAGGTCCATTTTTGATCATTCAAATTATGGCTAATGCCAAAATCTAAAAGATGAATCCCTAAATCGTTAAATTTTGCGTGACTATTATAGAATCTTAGTGGTGGTAAAATTTGTGACCGAAGCATATGCCAATTTTTTTCTTGAATAGAAAATAAATAAGTGAATGCCTAAAAATGCGTGGGGTATGTTTGTTATTTTGACTTAATTTTCTATTTTATCTTTTTCTAGTTAAATATAGAATAAAACTACTTTTAATCTGCTTAAATATAATAAAATAAAATTTAGGGAGTACCCTTACCAAAAGTGCATTTATCGACAACAGCTGTGTCCGATATGCCACACTGTGACTTTCAAAATGGGAAGAAGAAACAACTTGTTAACTTTTTAGAATATTAATACTTATTCTTAAATGCATTTATATGTATGCATGTGTAATATTTGTTAGGAAGGATTATTTACATTACGCCGGCAATGTCTCGTGAGAAAAAAAGGTATTATTGTTAGTTCGCTGCCTATGTATGGCAATTAAATGTTGGTCCCCGATCCGAGATGTAATGAATTGTTTGTAAATTTACGTGTGTGCATTAATTTTTACATTATTAATTGTGTAAATATGCTTCCATTTTAGGCAAAGCACGTTTCTTCTGGAGGAGCAGGAGGAGGAAAATTTGGAAACTTCTGTCTCAACGTCGCAGGAAAACATTATTATTGAAAATGTTACAGACGATATGTAAGTTTACATTACAAACATAAATTTAAAAAATAACGTCGACTGCTTTTTGCATAAGTTTATGAAAGTAAAAATCAATACAAATAGCGTTTTTGATGTATTTTCATTAGAGTAATAAACTAATAGTACCAAAAAAGTAAGAAATTTGTATTATGCAAAATACAGTATAGTCCAAATAAGTTATGCAAAAAGTAGTCGAAGACCAAATTGAACTGTTGTAAATTTATTTATACTTGCAGGCCCATTGAGCCTATGGCTTTTCTACAAGGCCTTCACGTAAGTACAATTGGCAAAAATACAAGGATTTTTATCTGATTAATTAGTTTTTATTTTCTTACAGTCAGGAAATTTGATGCAGTTTAGTCAGGTAACATGCGCGCACATAATAAATAAAACTTCCTATGATTGCTTAAAGCGCTGGGACAGATCTGATTGCACAAGTATGAGCGAAAAACTAGCTACTGTAGAAATTACACTACTTATAAGCGAAATGTCAATTTCAAAAAGTCCCATTGGCTTTATTTTGTACTTTATCGTGTCAACTTGCAGTGAGAATGCGTGTACGCATTGTCGAAAGCGGCAATGGGTTTGTTGTAGTTTAATCTCTTGCAAAATGATTCCTGTCGCTCGAGTTGCGATTAAAATGTCGTTGCTCACGTACGTCAACAAGGATACTTCAGAGATAGATATGGCCAAAAACACTAAATTTATAAGTGCACCGAACGCATCGTACCGTTTGCCTCCAATAAAGGACTCAGCAATAGCGTAATACTGATTATAAAATCCCACAGTGATTCCTAGCAGATGGCAAATTAGCGATAGGACTATTGAGAGTGAAATCAAAGCCATGTACTTCGTAGCTTGAATGCATATAATTTTGTATTTCACCGCTAGCACGTCGAGCTCGTCCGCTAATGTGCAATAGTGCTGAATGCGGTGATATTTCGAGTATAGATTTTTATGGATCTCCTGCTGCATGAAATTCACCTGTTGCACTAACATTTTAAGTCTCTCATTTAAGGTTTCCATTATGTTCTTCGCTATGATCATTGCACCAAAATAGCAATTGTTTAAAAAATTTGAAATTATCATTGGAAACAATTTATAGAGGGACCAGGTCCAATGAAGCTGAGGTTCACTTCGTTTTTGCTGCAACACCAAAGCGATCTCTAAGGCAAGCGGGAATCCAATGACTTTAATCAGTGCCAAGATCACCGATTTTTTTATTTTGTTGATGTCAATATGAAGTTCATTTAACGTTTCAAAAAGGGGCACGTTGCTCATCATTCGCGCCACCTTTTTGCTCAATAGCATTTGAGTAACAAAATTAAGAATAGCTACTGTTGTATTCATATAGCTGTATAGTTTGACGGCGTCGCGTAAGTTGAGTTGTGCATTTGTATAGTCAAGGTACATCTGACGAATATATACACTTGAAAATAAGACTGTTACAAGCATAGCATATGCCAAATATTTCTTTGAAAATACGAAACGTTTTCGACCACGCCAAGAGTACCGATTGGCGAAAAGCCCGAACAATGTTAGCATAAAAATGAGCGTAACAATTAATAATTGGACCAGCATGTTTTTACCCTGAATGGGATTCCACGAAAAGAGACCCATTGCAGATGAAATTTGTTTGTTTACTGACCCTATATTTTATGCATTGGTATTTTAATTGTTCCTTTTATCGATTAATATTATCTGATGTCTTGTCCGAGTCCGAAATGACGCTGAACATCAATGTCACTCAACCAATATCAATAGCAACAATCACCCTGTGTTTGGTACGTGTTTGCTAACCGTTGCACAACCAACTGAATACGTTAGACAACGCATTATGAATTAATTAATAAGAGAAAATAATAACGACTTATTTGACTCAAACTTATGATGACCCCATAAGAAAGCATGCGATTGTGAAGGATGCCGTAAAATATATACTTTGTTCAGACCGTTAAATGCTACATAGATATGTTTTATATTTTTTTTTGTTACAACCTTCAGTCACAAATTTATATAAACATTATATTTAAGCAATCCGTTTTACGTGAAATGATGCTACAAGATATCAAGACACAGATTAATTCTCTGCCCAAGTTGGAAAATCACAACAATGGTGATTATCATTTTGGCATGGTCCTCGAGGAGCCGCCAAAGTCGCACTGGATGTTCTCAATGCCATTAAACAAGCTGTACATTCGTATGAATAAGACTTTTAATATTGATGTAAAATTTAAAACAAAAATGCCTATTCAGCCTCTGAATTTGCGAGCCTTTCTTTGCTTTGTTAAGGATGTCAGTGGACCCGTTCTGCGTTGTCAAAACCATTTAAGTACAGATCCCAGTAAGTAAAAAATAGTTGTATAAAATGTTCCCCTATTAATTATTGGTTTCTTTTAAGTTAAGGGCAATCAAAGTATGCGAGAAAATTTACTACGATGTGAAAACCCGAACACTTCTTATTGTGGAACATCTGAAGGAAAAAGTATTGCAGAAAGATACTCCGTGCTTGTGCCATTAAATATGAGTCGTTCTAGCCACGAAAGCGGTGGATTCGTTCGCCAAACCCTTGCCTTCAGTTTTGCCTGTCAGAACTCATGCTTTGGCCGCAAGGAAACCTGTTTGGTTTTTTGCTTGGAAAACACGAAGTATGCTATTCATTTTAAAAAAATAAGTTTACCCATATAAACTATCATTCCAGCCGTGACATATTGGGGCAACAAGTACTGTACCTTAAAATTTGCACGTGTCCAAAACGTGATCGCAATCAAGACGAACGCCACCTAGAGAGCAATAAAAACAAGTTGTTTTTCGATGCATCGGAGGAGGAAGAACTTGACGCATCAAGTGCCAAAAAGAAGTGTCGCCGCACTATGAAAAACGAAGTTAAAGACGAAAACGAAAGCAATGATAGCTCCGATGTTCACCCTGTCCCAGCTGATTGGGAAGTCTCGCGTGCGATAGACGGTGATTACCGACTTGTCATAAAATTTTCAAATAAGGATTTGCTATTGCGGAGCATCGAGGGTATTATTGAAAAGACGGCTGTCGCAATGATACGGAACCCACAAAATTTAAAACTACGCCAACAAACAAACCATTTGATGAATTTAAAAAGTAAGCACTATCCGATTTAAGAGCTCCCTCTAATTTGTTTAAATGTCATATTTTTGCTTACAGAGTATGCATTAAAGTTGTCCTAAGCAAATAAAATGAAAAATTCACTTAATCTATATTTCTTTCCCATGCTTGTTTTTGATATATAATCATTCCTATGGAAATGTTTCTGCACTATAAGTTTTGTCATACATCATACATCATACATGATGCATTTCATATTTAATATTACTATATCACCATATGCCTAGTTACAATTAAGAAATTTGATTAATTTGAAATAGAAATTTTATATTTTATATTTTAAATGTGTAAAAAAAATACAATACAATACAGGTAACAGTGTATTTTCTTAGTACTTATTTTTGATTTAAATAAGCTTTATTTGGGACAGATAAATGAATGTACAAATTCTATAATAAATTTGACTTCCTTTTTTACAATCAGTACACTCATTTCGTTTTCCATTTTTATACCCTTGCAGAGGATGTTATAATTATATCATAATTATATATCAAATTATATAATGTATAGCTAATATAAGGCGTCGGCTATAACCCCGTAAAAGATCTATAATCTTTTTGATGCCATCGAAACGATCGGTAGAGAATATAATTCTAAAAAATTATTTTTTGTTCTGACCGATACCTTAACTAAACTAAACACGATAGAGTATCTAACACGATAGTACATGTGAGTAAAGTCCATCTACTTTATTATATAGCTCTTATAGAAAGAATTTATAAGCAATCAAGTCTTTGTATAAAAGTGTCCGTTTTTATACCCAACTGAAAATAACACTATAAGAGCTAGACACACCAAATTTGGTATAGTGACATAGGCAGAAGAAACAGCGCTCGAATTCATATTGGGCTATATTAAAATTTAACTTGTCATATATACCTACTTTACGTGTATGTAAGTTGTCATGGAATAGTGAAAAATAATTAAAATTCGTGGTATTATGATTTTGGCGGCTTTCTATTTTTAAGTTTGACAGCTGCTATTTAAAGGCTTCCTACCTGTTTGGAATAATGAATGAATGAGTGAATTCAACAAAAGCTCAAAGTTTCACTCAAAATATAAAATTTGAGATACATTTTCATTTAACACCCTGTATCCACAAATAAGGGAGCAGAGCTAAGGTATTTTAACAAAATAAATTAATTTAGATTTCAATAATTTAAATAATTTTAGCAATAATCGGTAGTCTTGTCTTTTTTAAAATTTATATTAAAGCAATTTAGAGATTGAGTCATCGAAATTATATTCGATTGGTTATTATATACGCAGCTTATGACAAATGTTATATGCAGGGTGTTTTATAGTTGAACATTATGGACATGTAATATTTTACTTGTTTGGTAACATACATAATGCAATTGTTTATAAAGCCAAGACATCAGGTGGAACTGCCTACGCATTCATACTCTATTGTAAGCCACTGAATTCCACTTAAAGCTCGGGCACCTAATCCACCGACATTGGAAGCATTGGGAGAGGTGCGCCAACAACGACAGCTACAGCAACGTTCGCTACTCATTTTTGCAGTCGCTTGATACAAAACAAGATAACTCGACGACAACGATACAAGTTGGCGGAGAGCGATCTCCAATTCTCATAGAAAGAGTACGAAAAGCTGTGCGCGCAGTTTTAGTTTTGTTTGATATCGGTTGGTTAACGCACGTGCGATTTCATTACGGACGGCTTTAAAAAAACATACATATTTACTTAAATAAAGTAACGTACTTATTATTAAATAACAATATTTCTGTTGCTGTTGGAGCAAATTTTAATGCAACTGTGTTAACATGGTTGAAACGGCTACAACAACAACTATCACGCGTACGTCGTCCAGTGCGTCGCCGAGCAACGTTGGGCCACCAGCCACGCCTACTGCAGCGCTGGTGCATCGCAATGACGAGACAACTCGCGGCATTTACAATATAAAAATTATTGTTTTTTTATTGTTTCTGCCTTTTGTGTTATTTGCTGTGCTTCTTAAACATCTTTTGGACTACCTATTCGCTCTTGGACTTAAGGAAAAAGACGTGAGCGGAAAGGTAGCACTGGTAAGGTTAGGCGGTAACTTGACTGAAATTGCTGACGATATTATTTTTTGTATATATATTGTTTCTAAATTCACAGTTCGTTTGACTTTGGCGTATATACACACATACATACATAAGTATGTAATTGAGTTAATATAAACATGCAATACATAAATTGTAACGTCACGCAGTTTTCTTCTTTGGTTTTCCACTCTTGACATCTAGCCCACCGAATGGGTGCGGCTCGGTTGCGTCGCTTACCCAGCATTTTTTTTTTACTCAAACAAATATTTTCGCTTGGCTTTCCAAAAGTAGTCAACTGGTTATGTACATACATATGTACACACAATATGTATATAAATGATGTATTTCCCTTGTTTGTTTGCCAATGTTAGTTGTTTTTTCTTTTAAATCAAATGAATAGCTCTCTCCATTTTAATATATCTACATATATATGAATAAATATGTACAAATACATGCATACATATTTATATAATTAAACGGGTTTCAATGTCAATTGACAGTTACGGCAAGGTCAAGACAGCTGCCCAAACTAACATATAGATACGTTTGGGAGCGCTACGCATTAGGAAGTTGACCAACATCTTATATATGGAATGTTTTTATTAGAATTCCATTCGAAAGCTGTAGGTGGGTCGGACGTAATACAAGCATGCGTCATTAAAGCGCAGTCTGTCCTATACTCTGCCAATCACTTATACATACTAGTCAGGAAAAAACAGGTTTACTTTGTAAAAAAGGTTATAAATTTCACTTTTGTTTTCATTTTATAAAAAGTTTTTGACGTTATGCTTCGCTCCGTCAGTCAACAAAAATGAAAACAAAGATTAAAAGATTAATATGTAATGAAGATACGAGATAAAGAATATCGTACAAGCATGTATTGTAAGCATATTGTTTTGTAATCGCAATCGCGCTTAAGTGGTAGAACGTCAGACCTCGCCCATACATACACGCTTTTAAAAATGCTCAAAAATGTTTAACTTCTTTGTCTAACTTAAGTATAAATACATATCTATATAGATCAAGTATTCATCGGCAGCCCAGCTAGCGGGTCACGTTATTTTAATTACGTTCATAGCTAGTCAACTATTGTAAATACGCCGCACGTTTAAATCAAACATAATCAGTTTTTGGATGCATGTTTATACAAATGTACATATTTACATGAGTAGCCTATTGTTTGCCAATAAAGCCAATTAAATGGGACTATTTTTTATAATGAGTAGTTCAGGAAGATCCTAATGTTCATTTGACGAACGTACATGTATGCATGGATGAGAAAATGGACGCACATTCATAGTATATGTATGTACTTTTAAGGTGACAGGCGGTGGGAGTGGCTTGGGTCGCGAAATTTGTCTGGAGCTGGCAAGAAGGGGATGCAAGGTAGCCGTCGTGGATGTCAATTCCAAGGGCTGCTATGAGACAGTAGAGTTGCTATCTAAAATTCCTCGTTGTATGGCAAAGGCATATAAGGTAAGCAAGTGGTATTCGAAAGTGCTGGTAAAATGTTAATTTTCCTTTTACTATAGAATGATGTTTCCTCACCACGTGAACTACAGTTGATGGCTGTTAGAGTGGAAAAGGAGCTGGGTCCCGTCGAAATTCTGGTGAACAATGCGTCCCTGATGCCAATGACATCGACGCCGCATCTGAAAAGCGATGAAATCGACACTATCTTGCAGCTTAACCTCGGCTCCTATATAATGGTATGTGATAGGCTACCACATTTACTTTCTTAATTTTAACTGATTGCGGATTTTAGACAACAAAAGAGTTTTTACCAAAGATGATTACGCGTAAATCAGGTCACTTGGTGGCAGTTAATGCATTGGCAGGTCTGTGCTATTGGTGTATCAACGAATGATTTTTTTTATTCGGATAATATATCCCGCAAATAGGACTGGTACCGCTTCCTGGCGCGGGAATTTATACGGCAACAAAGTATGGCATTATGGGCTTCATGGAAGCACTACGTGCGGAGCTGCGCCTTTCGGACTGTGACTATGTGCGTACAACTGTCGCCAATACTTACTTAATGAGGACCAGCGGAGATTTGCCGCTTCTAAGCGATGCGGGGTAGACTTTAAATGTTATTTAAGTCAGAAAAGTTGTTTGGTTAATAATTATAATTTTTGCAGAGTATCGAAAAGTTATCCCGGCCTCTCTACTCCCTATGTGGCAGAGAAAATTGTTAAAGGCGTGCTATTAAATGAGCGTATGATTTACGTGCCAAAAATATTTGCACTTAGTGTATGGCTTTTCAGGTAAAGTGAACATAATTGAAATGGCCTTTTACGTTGAGTCCTCCTATTTCTGTAAACTTTTCTTCATCAGATTATTGCCGACTAAATGGCAGGATTATATGCTGCTACGATTCTATAATTTCGATGCGCGCAGCGCACACTTGTTTTATTGGAAATAAACGTAAAACATCTAGGGTAATGATATTTAACTAATGCATTTTTTAATTCAGTTAAAGACAAATATCCTAGACCAAATTTTAAATGTAAGCTTTGAAGAGTATTTATTTAAATAAAACGAAAATTAAATAATTAATTAATTTTGATTATGTTTTTTTATTATTTCAAAGGCTGGTTTCAGTAATTATTCTTCTAAGAAGTCGTGAACTATAACTGTTAAATGTTTACGTAAATGCACTGTATCAAGCGACGAGTTGTCCTATAGGGCGAGACAATTTGTATGACTTCTTTATACAGCAAATAAGACAGATTATCAAAAGCAAATTTCTATAAGCGAAGGACCCCTGTATGGCGATTAGGCTCAAGTGCAGGTTGTAATTCAAACAATGATGTCGCATTAAATATAGTAAGAGTTGAGATTCCCTAACCAGCTCCCCCGAGCTGCGCACTTTAATTTCAATATATCGTCAATAGTTTTGAAATTTAATCTTAAGTTACTTCTGTTCTTGTTGCCTGGACGATATTATATGATAAGGTCACTAAGATGGACATGTCTAGATCGACTCGGCATTTGACGCTTATCAAAAATGTATAATTTCTTATTGAGATCGGATCGGTGATTAATGCTAACTGTACATATGTACATTTTTAATTCTGCAATCCTTTTTTCTTAAAACATGTTTGCATATTACATTCTCGTACATTTTTGGGAGCTTAGTGCTTCCTATAATTCTCACATGATTTAAGTACCAGCACGGCTTTGATATGATTAGTAAGTACATGTTTACCTAAGCTATGTATATGAAAAAGCAGACAGCAGTGGTTGTACTATCCGAAATACAATGCCGTCGAATGTATCTTGAAGACCCGGATTGCTATACATAAGCAATATAAGCAGCATCTCAGAAATAAATTCTAGTTTCAGTTATGACATTTGGTACAGCACGGAAAGACCCCCAGCACCTGACAACACAACACAAGAACATGTACACACATAGCCACATGCGTACATAAAACACCCATCTCCGTCACTGCACAGCGCATGCGTAGCTGCTTTGTTCCATAAATAAAAGGGACTAATTACTTATGTGCTAGGGTTACAATTACAGTTGCATTGTCGATCAGGGTCATGCATGAAAAACCGTCGAGTGTTTTATAGTTGCATTTATGTGCCCTTGCCCCCGCGAAGTTGTCTTTTCATAACATCGATTTCATGCTGCGCCTATGTACATTTACACATATACATATCTTCAAACATTGTTTGATTTGCACTGTTCCTGAGTTTTGTTTATTGTTTTGTTAGTGGTTGTCATTTTCCCCAACTTGTTTCAATGCTAAGCTCTCGATCAGTGCCCTTCTATGGCTACAAGCAGTGCATCACATGTGCGCTGGAGCGCAGCTACGTGAGCCAAGAAATTGTCTGCTTGCCGCTCCATGTGGTCTAGCACTCCGCCCAGGGTCTTTGATGTTTTCTATGTTGTACTATAAGAAATACATAATAGTATTCGTTTATATGACTTGAACGCATAGAATAGAGCAATGGGTTTAAATATCTATGCAGATATATGTACTAAGTAATTTCTGCCTTCCAAAAACTATATTTATATATTAATGATCAGCAATCACAGCGGAATCAGCTCTAAGATCTTAGAGACTCAAAGAATTGAATACATCGATTAAATTATTAATATAACTATCTTTTATAACTTCATATCCGGCTCCTATTAAAAATATATTTCAAAGATGAGAAATTAGTTTAGTTTAAATAAACTGAACTGCACATGATGATATATATTCGACCTTATATTTATCAAACATTATTTCTGTTGTGCTTGCAATATTCATCGACACTCTTCAAAATGTCAACTTAAAATAGAATATTATGATCTTTTTCTGCGACCGTCAATAGCATGTCTCAGTTTTGTGAACTCTAAAAAGCGCGCTCTAAAAATAGGCAGCATGTACGGAGCAAGGCAGCCAATGTAAAAAGCAAATTTGGCCCCATACTGCGGTTGCATTACACATATTTTGTATATACCTTCTAAATATAAAAAAATTGTTATATGTATTGGGAGTTCGCTCCTTAACATTTCAAATACTTCAAACTATTGAAAAAAATTTGTTTGACAAATTTTATATAAAACCTGAATATTTTCGATATCCGCATGGTCCATTCCCATATATTAAAAAAGATCAGCAGGGATTACCCAGCCTTGCCCAGCTCAATGAATAATTTTGATCATATGAGTGTGTAATTTTCTTTGGAGGATAAGAAAGCAACCAATCTATTGAAACCGAATATTTTCATTTCGATCTTTAAACCGTGTATAAATATGTTAATAAACATTATTCACGCCTTTCTGTCAAAGTCAAAGCCAAAGATAAATAAAAAAAGGCAATCCTTAGTAAACACGCTGAACAGGAGCTATGGCAGCTGTGTTTCGAATATCCTTGCAACAAGCCACACATTTTAAACTGTTAAATTATGACGTGCAACTGTCAGTTCAAGTACCGTTGCTGGTGCTGCGTGAGAAAATGTTATCGTTGTAACCAAACGGATGCATTTGCATTGTTCTGTGCATGTTGTAAGTGTGCTGCAGTAGCATTCATCTATAGCTACCTCGTAGCTGCCGTTGTACTGTCCTGACAACGGTATCAGGTTGCTAAGTATTTTGTACCCTGAACCCATTAAAAATGGGTATAAGGGTATATTGTATTTGTGCAAAATCCAAATGTATATAACAGACAGAAAGAAGCATCTCCGACACCATTAAGTATATATATTCTTGATCAGCACCAATAGCCGAGTCGATCTAACCATGTCCGTCTGTCTGCCCGTCCGTCCGTCCGTATGTATGAACGCAAGGATCTCAGAAAATGTTAGATGTAGGTGCTCCTAGGGCCTGCGCATATCGAGTTTGTTTCCGATAATCGATAACTTACTCCGTTTCCAAGCAATCGATTAAAATCGATATCTATATCCTGTTTTTTGGGCAATTTTGGTAAATAATAAGAGTCACCAAACTTGACATATAGCTTCTAAAATAGAATATATATATATATATTTCATGTTGGAAGAAGAGGGCTTAGGGTATCCCCTAGTCGGGAGCTCCCGACTAGATCCTCTTACTTGTTTTCTTTTTTTTTTGTGAGGGCATTGTGCACCCAGCTAATTTATTTACTTTTGGCTTTGTTTAACGATTACTTCAGCTTTTTTCTAAATTGAAACATGTGTCAAATTATCCCGAGTTGTGCTGAGCGGCAAAAGAGCGTTTCACAGGACATTATACTCCTGTCTCATTGGGTACTGTGCGACATTGTAACTTCCCGTGATCTGTTTCAGCACTTTAAATTGGTGTTGACAGCCGTGTTGAGAAATTGTCTTACCCTTTACACATTTTTGTTTTTTTGAGTGCTCTATATACTTATGAAAAATAAAAAGTAATTAAAATTAGCGTTTCTAAGCACTCCTGCTTGACACTCTTCATTTCAAGCACATATTTTCCTCAGCTGCAACATCTGTTGCTGAGCTATTTCGTTAGCCGTGGGAAACTTTGGAGGTCACAATTAAGTATGCTTATTTGATAATACTTTCATGGAAGGTAAATCAAATCATTGCTCATCTTTTAATTGTAGTAAAAGTAAAATATGAGCACCGCCTTATATATGAAATTGTTGGTCGTTTATTCCTTACATTTACATATCATACGCCATAGGTTAAAGTAAAAATAAGGAGACATTCTCAAACTAATTGACTTGGTTTTGAAAATCTAAATAACAAAAAACAATCATAAAAATACTCTATTATGAGCCGAAAATACGGGCAATTAAGTAGAAGATTTGCAAGCAAATGCAACGTTGACATTTACACACAAATTCGTTAAATAATTTTCATTGGCGGTGAACTTGAAATGTGAGGGTCAGAAAGGCAGCTGTTGCACTTGAAACCAACTCAAGTACTCTAATGTGTTCGGATAAATTATTATGACAACCAAGTGTACAACACAATTGTGTTTATGCTGATGCTAGAGCACCTCAGCAATCTTGTTCCATGAAGACAGCCACATGTACTCGCAATGCGGCATAAAATATAAAATGGTATTTTGTTTAATGAAAAAAAAAAAACAAGTAAAAGGTGCTGAAGAACTCGCATACACACATACATGCCCAAGGACCACGGAGAAAGCTGCGCAAGCCGCTAACTACTATGTTTCGTCTGATCATTATGAAAGATAGACGCCATATTTTGGTATGTAAGTTCTTGTTTAAAATATATATAAAAACATAAATAAACATTTAAATAATCTTTATTTTCTTCAAAAGTTGCAAAAAAAAACAACATAGTCATATAGGCATATAGCGTTCTTAAGTCTAGTGTTGGTATACAATACGTTTCTATACTAGTTGTATACATGCAAGCATATATATTATTGTTATTGCATTTTAGACTCAACGAATAAGTCCGGTTTATAATGAATGCAATTAAAATATTGCATCGATCTGAAAGCAGCTTTAAAACATCTTACGTAGTTTGTTAAGCAGCTCAGGTGTTTTAGCTTCGCTCTCGTAAACACTGTAAACAGTCGCAAAGTGCTATTTAGTCTTAAAAAATATCTTGCTCTTAAACCATGTCTCTACATAGCGCGCTGATAAAATTGCAGGCATCAGTGGCCTTGTCGGTCCTTCTTTGCGCCACTCCACTGCTGCTTCTGGCAGCTTTGGTGGCCAAAATCTGTGAAAGTTTCTATACATTCTTTGTTCCGTCCAGAAAATGTTTTATAGGCGAGGTGGCTTTGGTATGTACTTATCGAGAGTTTCAACGAATTTAAATTAAAGTGTACAAATTATAGTGCCTTAGTTGAGTGCCAGACTGGGAGACACCGTGTTGAAACAGTCTTACAATTCCGTGTTGTCCAATCATGTTTTCTTGTTGTGTTTATACTGTTGGTAAACTTTTTTGGAAAAGTTGGGGTTCCGTCTAATAAATTACGACTGAAAATGGAATCTGATCGTTTTCATTGAAATAAGAATGCTATGGTTTTTTTAATATTCTATATAACCACGACTGACGGACATAAATACTCCAACTCAGGTCGGCATGATGATAAAGAACATATATTTTTATATATTCTATTGGTCGAAAAATGCTTCTTTTGCCTGACTTTCCAAACAGCTTTTAAAATATTTTTTAAATGAATCCTTTATTATAACCCTTAAGCCATATTTGCAATGAAAAAATTATATATAAAGTTCACAGATCAAGTACAGATCTCCGCCTCTAGTTTAATGTCGCACTACACTTGTTGAAGGTTGACAAGCATTAGCAGGTTACGTGGTAATAACAGTAATTATTTGAGTAACTTGTTTTTTACTTTAATATATTAAGATATGTACATTATTTCAATGATTGCATATGTAGGTAACTGGAGGTGCTCACGGACTTGGCCGTGCTATCTCTCTTGAACTTGCTAAAATGGGATGTCACATGGCCATAGTTGATATTGATTTACAAGGCGCCGAAGAAACTGTTAAACAAATCAGTGAGACTTTTACAGTGCAAGCCAAGGCTTATAAGGTCGGTAAAAATAAATTTCTTAGCTTAAATCTCAATTTTGCGACTGACCCAAGGTGAATGTGGCCAATTACACCGAGGTTAATGAGCTGAAATCAAATATCGTCAACGATCTTGGACCAGTTACGATTCTCGTTAACAATGCAGGTATTCTTTTGCTAAATAATTCTGTAGAGCCTGAGCCAAACGATGTTCAGCGTATGATTGATGTAAACTTAACATCCCATTTTTGGGTAAGCCTATGTTTACGAAGCAGCATGTATGTCATGCACTAACCTGTTTTTAAATTCCCCACTAGACTAAATGTGTATTTTTACCCACCATGAAACAACTACGCAAAGGGCACATTGTCAGTATAAGCTCTCTTAGTAGTAAGTTTATATTATCTGTGTATTAAGGGAATGGTACATGTTTTTTTTTACATTACAGGTATATTTTCCTTACCTTACAACTGTCCTTATAGTGCCTCTAAGTCTGGGGTCTGCGGGCATATGAAGGCACTTCGTTTGGAGTTAGCTTTTGAAAGGCAGCACAACATTCATGTCTGCACAGTAATGCCTTCGTTCCTCCAGACCAATGACGAGATCACAAAGATTGCGAAAAATGTACGCTTTAATGATTTCTATCCACTAATCAGTGGACCTGCCGCTGCTCGTCGCATTGTCCAAGGGATGCTTCGCGGCGAGCGCGAAGTACTCCTTCCAGGGATCGCTTCTATAATGTATCGTGCTCTAGTGTAAGTTTATATTCTGTAGCATGTTATATTTGTGCCTTCATTTTAATCTTATCTTTCGCAGTCTATTACCGGTCAGCTGGCAGGATAATTTATTTCTATTGATTGCTAATAAGCAGATTCACCAGTTTTATAAGCTTCGAACTTAACGCACCAAAAACATAATGTTTGGTGGCAGCTTACTTTCGTTCTTAAGAAATTAAAAAAAAAAATTATGCATTGCAGAAAAATGTTATTTTGAGCTTCTGCTCACACTCAAAAAACAATAAAAACATATACCTACCTTTATTAGTTGATGGCTACTTTTTAGAGTAATTTTAAGTAAAGAAAAAAATATATTAGTGGATTGCAGAAAAATATTATTTTGAGCTTGTGCTTACAGTCAAATAACGACGAACACAATAACCTACATCTATTAGTTGCTAGACTAGACTAAACTACTTTTTATAGACATCCCCTGGGACATGTTTTTGGTGGGTACACCGATATGCAAACATGAGTTCATTAACAGAATCGGATTTAAATTTTATGAACTCATTGTTATTTGTCAGCCTACTGTAGTTTGGGTTGAAACTTATGTTAACATAATTCCCCCATAATTCGGTCTAATCTCATCCAATTTTGAAGAGGTTTTGGCACCTAAGTATTTACATAAGAAGTTAATGAATACGGGATTCAGCGATTTGGGAAATTTCGCCCGCAAAAGTGCTAAATTTTGTTACCATCTGATCGTTTTTAAAGTCTTTTTTTTAGAGAGTTGAGAGAATTTAGTTTATACGTACCACGAGTTAGGCCTGGGTATATCCGCTAGTGTGTGTACATATATATTTATTTATGTAGAAATCATTGACGTGTCTCACTGAACGCCTCATTGGCAGGCTGATTGAAACACAAATGTGGTGGTGTCAGTTTGTTTGTCTTTGTCTTTAACGCGCACTTTTTAAATAAAGGGCTACGAACAGACAAGGGACTTACGTTCCTGATTATCGACCAATCCCCCACTGGGAGACATTTGAATATAATTTTTTGATGTTGTAAATATTTAGCTGTTGATGCGTGGGAAGTTTGTAACCCTTTGCGCCTTGGAGCAAGTCGAGCCGTCTTATCTGTTAATATTAAAAGCTAGACACAATCATAAAGTAAGTAATTCTGTGCATTCAGATTCAATGATCCTCTTGTGCAAAAGATTTCTTTTATGCAAAACTGTGGTTACTAAAAAACCAAATCTATTCTATGCTAACCACATAAACAACATGTTCATATAATATTATGTGCACGTTTTGCGTTTAGTATTGCGTTATCTACTAACGTAAAGGTAACAAAAAGGCTTAGCCTATTAAATAACATTAATAAATTTAACTGCTTCAGTTTAAGGGCAGCATGGTTGGGATATTGAAACTTAAATAATAAAATGTTTTGGGGGCGTGCGTGTATTGTTTGGCTGCTCCCAATATCGTTTTTATTCTGTCAGACCAAAAAATGTTTATGAATATAGTCAATTTGCTGTCAACTTTTGAACTAGTCACACATGTTCTAGCTCGAATTGGGCATTGCGGCAGTAAGTTGTAAAAATGTCAAGAAATCAAAGTACTAGTATATTATATTATGTGCAAGCGGGACAGCGTGACAAAATGACACTTTTTCAGCGCTAACAGAAATTTTTTCAAATGGAAAATATAATTGTGCACAAACAAATCACGGACAAATGAAGCAACTACAACTGCGACCATGACACGCATGTCAGCGCAATCATTTGACATTTTGACAGCTATATCCCTGTGTGTATTCGTGTAAGGGTTTGGTTAAGTTCAAGTCGTAGGTCAGATTACAACTATAATTTTGCAGACATTTATTTCGATTTGAAGAGAGTTCAAGAAGTTCGAGCGTTAGTTCTAAGGGATCACTGTATTCGTGATGCGTCAAGTAGCTAGTAAAAAAATAAATTATGTTTAACGATAAACATGCTAGACGAGCCGACTGTGTTATTATTATATGTGTTGATGTATTCAATGTAAAAGAAAGGCCGACAGAGCACTCTTACTTATTATTTATACAATTATACATATGAAAATTAAATTTATTATTTATTATCTGCGCAAAGGATATCTTTAGTCGAGCACTTTTAACAAAAACATTTATTCATATATTTTAATTTGCAAGTATACCCCACCCCCATACTGCTCAAATTAATTAATTTTAAAAGAAATTAAAATAATACCTATTACTCCTTAATATTGAATAGAACTCGATAGGAGGCTCAGTCCCAGACTAGGAGAGTCACTGTCTAAATTACAAATTTTGTGGCTGTGTTTCATATATTCTGGAACTGTATTATATCTTTTACAGGCTAGTCGCATAATTAAACAAATATTTTGTAGCGAAAACAGTTACTTTTTTCTCAATAAATGCAGACTTCATCGTGCGTCATTTTCTAAAAGAAGAAACAGTTTTTATCAGGTTGCCAAACATGAAATACCCTTCATGCCAATATGTTAGTGGAAGAATTGTTAAGTTTTATTAAGATAGTTATTAAACTGAAACAGACAGATAGACATTACTGTACTAGCTGAGATCGTATGATTGATTAAGAATACATATACTTTACAGAGTTGGCAATGTCTTTTTCATTGCAGAATACATTTCTTGATAAAGCTATACACCCTCTGCAAGGGAATTAAAATAAAATGAGATCATTTCAGAGACGAAGGCACAAGTGCTTACCTTAGCCGCATCTTTTACACAAGTAGTTCTACTGGTCCGCAGCGACGTCAAAACGGCCACTAATTTTAACAATGATGTAAGTTGTCGCACTTCGGGGGAAACAGAACAAGCAAATCCGTAAAAATGCCTACAGTTTGGTTTTGGGCATGTGCCAAATTTTTTTCGCATTGGTATCCCATGAGCATGCATATAAATGACAAATATTCAAGTGTTTATATGTTGAGTGTTAAGCGTTTCTGAATGGACTTAATGCGAACTAGTGGGGCAAACAGCTGTTATTGGCCACAAAGCGTGTGCCAAAATGCGTTGTTTGCCAAAACATAAATTTCAATTAAATACAATGGGATGTACTAATCTAAGTTCACGTGCATGTATTGACAGATTTGGATATGCAGAGGCTATTCTAGCCCTGTTAGATTTCCGAACTACCTAACCCACAGTCACGTTGCCAGATTTTATAACAATTAAACTCTATTCGATTATTAGGAAACTGGTTTGTTTAAAGATTCTTAATAGAATAATAATGAAACATTTTTTGCAGTTTGCAAAAATAGTGCGGAAAATGCATTTTCGTATCGCAAATTAAAAACATATTGTCAGGCCGTTTGCTCAGCTGGATAAAGAACTAAAAATAGCAAAAAAAATATCGTAAAGTTATGCATATGCATGCATACACTTGCAGTAACAGTTGCATCTGAAGTGAAGAGGAGAAGCCGCATGCACTTGAGGCCAGGGACAGGCCAAAGTGATCAGCATCAACAGTCTTTCCGATTGTCATGAGTCTGTGTCTGTGGATTTTTGCCTCATGCCGCAGATGAAATAGTTGTTCGGAAATGAGTTGCCTTAATAAATTTAGCTCATAGTCTCACTGTATTTTTTATGCTCTGGCGGTGCCTGAAGAGACAAAATATTATGTTGTAATAAAAAATAGTGCTAAAGCATTCGACAAACGCTCACCGTCTATCTGCTACACTCCGGTGGGGGCGAGGAATTGGAACCTAAAACAGACTGGCACCATATGTGCCTGTGCCAAGACCGTTGCAGTGGTGCGCTGAAAAAAGGTCTCCGGTCACGCGCTCAGTTGGAAGTGTAAATATAAATGCACACAGTTTAGAGTAATCCTCTTCATTACTTGTTGTTTTTCGTTAGTAATGAATATTTACGTTTTATGCACATATGCAACAATCCAGCAAATTTCCTATCCGCTCAGAACTATACGACGCACAACTTCTTTATACTCGTGTGCTGATCAGGGAACATCACGCCGGGAATAAAGGAAAGGAGAGGAAATTACGAAAAGTATTGCAGCAGAAACAGACGCACATGTTCTTATAAAGGAGAAAATCCAAGAGTATTATAAATACAACTACCACCGATCATGACAGGGTGTCGCAGCGGCAGAGTCGGGAGCAGAGCCCCAGCTCAGGACCTATGTTTCGTTCCGGGCATTTAAATATCGTGCAGCCACTGAACTGCGGGTTATTGTCAGACACAACGCGGTGGCGTGAACATCACAAGAAATACAAATCAGTACAATATTATTGAAATAGAACACTTCAGCGTTCGTGTGCGTGCGTTTGTGTTGCCCTGTTTTGGGATTTCCCGTGCTCGTCGTCGAATTTGGCAATTGGCCGAGCCATTGAGACAGACAGTTTTTTCATCAAAAGTGTGGCGTCTTTTAAATGTGTGTAATTTGCCGGTAGTGCTAATGTGACAGCGACTCAACCTGGCACATCTATATACATTAAAAAATCTAAATGTCTTCCACAATGAAGTCGCAGCAGCTTCCACTGACCATTCCTACCCACTGCGAAGATATGTTCGGTAAAAACAAGGCGACGTTAAATAAGACATTCAATGAAAACGGTTGCTACGATTCCTTTATGTCGCCACCATTAAGTGCTAGTATCAGAAGTGATCACGATGGCTTTCAGGCGACAAAAGTAACTTTCTCTGGGAGCGTAAACAATACCAATTTTACATGCGCCGAATTGCAGTTTCCGGACTTCTCACACCCCTCCTTCACCACCGACACGCCCAATTCCGCTTTTAGTGACTACACTAACCACACAGGGCCTGAACAGGATAGGGATGATATTGTGTGTGCTTCCTCGGATCAAAGAGGCATGCCCTATCAGCAGGGTCAGTACACCCAGCTAAACCGTGAAGACGTCTTTCGCTTTGAGCCGGAGGATATTGCTCGACTAACAAGCGACAGCGGGAGCGCATACGCCGAACTCGATGGATTAATGCAGGTGCCACAAACCCCGTATACACCTTGCAGTGCCCAAATCACTCAATTAGGGGTCCTGCCAACACAGGTGGAGCCACCTGAGTCACTTAATCAGGATACAGATTATTTTAACTATGACGAAGTTAATTGCCAGTCAAAAAATCAATCACCGTGCTCTTCGCCACATTTAGATGCTTGGTTGAATTTCAACCTCAGTGAATTATCTTCGCCAGAGGCAGCTCAAGAATCGTCACCAAAATTATGCAATATTTACGAGCAACAGCTGTCGCAAGTGAAAGTAGAGCAAACGCAAAAGAAGTTGCCGTCAATGAACTCAACTTTCGGTACACCAAAGTGCACACCCATGTGCAATAATTATGACGACTTCTCCAATCTGTACAACAGTGCGGAGACGTTACAAGGTGTAATCTATGACTATTCAAATGAATTTTCGCCCGAAAATTTTCAACATAATATTGAACACACTATTAAGAAACCAAACCGTGAACACAAAGTTATTTGGACAATTGATGAACTGGATGAACTTAACGCCGCGCTGGTCCTTGACGAACAGCAGCCACAACATCAGTTGAGCTCAGTGTCAGTTGACAGGTCTAATTTTACAGGAGAACATTTTCCAGTTTCAAGAGTTGAAACATCAAATGCTGATGACCAACTGCTAGCCACTGGCGGCAGCGACGACGACGATGACAAGGAGGAGGATGACATGGACGAGGTGTTTGCCCCGCCAGCCGAGAGCGAAAGGAGGCTCAACTATTCAGACTTAGTGGACAGTGAAACTGAGCAGCCCGTTTCGCTTATATGCCGCTGGACTGCATGCAATATGGAGTTCCGGCACCAGCATGTTTTTGTAGAGCACATTGAAAAGTGTCACGTCGATGTCCGCAAGGGAGAAGACTTTTCTTGTTTCTGGCTGAACTGCCCAAGACGGTACAAGCCCTTCAATGCGCGATACAAGCTCCTCATACACATGCGAGTACATAGCGGTGAAAAGCCCAATAAGTGTCCGGTGAGTTAACAATTTGGCATTTTACCCGTTAAATACAGAATACTTCACTTCTTTCAGTACAATATTTGAGAGTTTGGTTGAAAAACTTTTTTCTCGTTTGTAGCCTAAATTTATAAATATTGTTGTTTGCATTAATAGACTGTCAATGACAAAAAAGAAAAAAACTAACAAATCTAGTTTGCCAGTATGTCATAGGGGCGTTATATATTTTTATCCTACACGAGTTTTTATTTATTACAAACATCATTAAGCAAGCAAGGCATCTGGCAGAGTTGCTACGAACCCTTTTTAAGCCACTTGAAATAGAACTGTCAATGACAATCATGACATTGCTCCATGTTTGGCTGTCTGGCTGTGCCGCGACTTTCAACATCCAACACATCAGTGGCTGGATGCAAGCCAATTAGAATAAATTTGCCTAACAGTTCAGTTTTTGCCATACCTATGCTCCCTGAATTGCGAGAATTTGCTTTCCAGCAGCAGGGTGCTCTATCTGATATATGCGTGCTAAGAGTTCGCAATTTCCTGCGCCTAGTAATAGTAGCATTCAATAATGCAATTTTATCACTTTTCATTACAGTTTCCGGGATGCAATAAAGCATTTTCACGTTTGGAAAATTTGAAAATTCATCAGCGTTCGCACACAGGCGAGCGGCCTTATGGCTGTCAATATAAAGGTTGCCTCAAAGCGTTCAGCAATAGCTCGGATCGTGCGAAACATCAAAGAACACACTACGATACGGTGAGTATTCGTCTCTCTGGATGTTTTTGTATATATATATGGCGGTGTGTGCGTATGCTGTAGAAGCAATTTGCTCCTCGTGTCAAAGGAAATTAAAGAGCCCGTGGCATTGGTCGCCTAGCCATCGCAGTCCAATTTAAACGCAGCCTAAAGTTTAAGTCATGTTGTAGTGTTTAAGCTTACGTACGCGGGAAAATATAGCGGCGCGGCAACTAAGAGTTCTGTTTTCTAAAAATGTTCGCTGCTTCTCAGGGGAAGCTGATGTGACTGTCGCTGGTGCCGTTGCCTCTATGACATGTGCACATTTGCCTGATTGATTTATGGTTTTTACGTGTATTTGTGTTGTGCCCAACGAAAATAGCAGCGACAGTAGCAATAGGTCCAGCACTCACGACAAAGAATTATAACGTCATAGCCAACATAAGAGGCCCGGCAAAGCTCACTGAAGTTTCAAATGTCGATGGAGAAATTGAATAAGCGAAACGTGTTACACCAAGGCTTAAGCTGCTTTAATGCTCCATGCAATGAGTGGCAGCCAATCAGACCCACACAACTTTGATCGCGAGAAATATGTTTTAATGGTTTTGGTTGCCCTTATGCCTGCTCTGTGGCAACTAGGCATGCTAGTGTTCGCCCTGGACGCTGCCAGAATAAAATACATTGCATTTTCGAAACATTTTACATAGAAAAGGGCTAGATGCTTCGCTCGGTGGGTGCTAATGAGTTGGACATTTTGTTCCTTTTTAACACCATTGCCAAATAAATTGATTGATGATTAATTGCATTGGAAAACAAAATAATATAACTATCCTTTATCTATGTTCCCTACTCAACAGAAGCCATATGCCTGTCAGCTACCGGGTTGCACCAAGCGTTACACGGACCCCTCAAGTCTTCGAAAACATGTAAAGAATCACGGACAAATGCGCCGCAAGTCTGCCAGTGGAACGCTTACTCCCTCTACCAAAAAAGCGGTCAAGACACGCCGCAATTCGGAATCGGCTGTATCCTTGAGGGAACCGTTAGGTTCATGTGAGCAACGTCCGCAGCGCAGCAGTAGCTGCAGTGAGGCAGCGCATCTGATGCAAAATGATGTACACAATAAGGACATACTTATGCAAAGGTTAACGGAAATAGTATCAACTCCGTCTACCGAAAACCGCAACCCCTGCAGTAATGACAATGTTCCATCTAATAACAATTCAATAAAATTTAATGAGTTGTCAAATTGCATTGTTGAACAAAGCCAATCCGGGACGACAGCCACGAAAGTAGCTGGCCGTGAAAGCCAGGTACATAGATACAATACAGTAGTTGAAACTGCAGCAACGGCAACAAATGATGGCTTTAGCTATTTTGGTAGCAAAGGTGAAAGCGAGTGTGTAAACACATATGCTGTGATGGAAAGGAATACATTGAGCACTTGCAGCATTAACAGCAATAATTACATAGCCAACAACTATAATTGCTGCAACAACGAAAATATTAATAAATTTAACGATCTTGAACAATTGCTAAATTCTACAGCGGTACCTAGCGAACTGCAAAATGTTGGGACTGTTTTTAATTCAGGTGCAAATAAATGTCAATTAAATGAGTTCGTATCGTTTGAATATGTGCGAAAGTATCTAACAGATGCATTTGAGTCCCCCAGTGCGAAGAGGCCGAAGAGTCCTGTTACAAATTTTCAAGAGAATATTCCGATTCTAAATGATTTCGAAAATTATGATATTCAGTTTATTTGAGTATTTAATCTTTAAATGAGATTGTTTGTCAAATATTTATATTTTATCTGAAGATCTCAACCGTATTAAGTAAGTGGTCAAGTTTGTCGATTGTGGAAAAAAGTGTGTATACTCATTTCTATTTGTATATAGTCAATTATTTTTTAGTTTTAGGAACTGTAAGCTAACTTTTGTTTCAGTACGCTCGATATGTTTGTATATGTTTATGTAAAGCTAGTTGAATTGACGGACAATAAGTTTTGGCCTAAATTAGGCCAAGGAAAAAGGCCTAAATTAGGCCGAAATTTTACTTTCTTTAGTGATTAATAAGTCTTCCCAATAAAAATTAACTGTAACTATGAATATATTTCTAAGATACAAGGATTGTACTTCTTAGTTCTCAATAGAATTACAAAAATACACTTATATTTTTATAAATTGCTAAGAAATATATATAGAAATCAAATTTACGCAGTAATACGCCATAAATTAGCGTAATTATGCTCCCAAAAATGATGGAATCTAAATAAATAATTTTCTCTGAAAGAAATTATCTAAATGTATAGCACTTCGCATAAAATGTTCGTGCTTTCTTTTATTTTGTAAAAATAAGGAAAGAATACAATGAAGAGGCGGTGCGGACAATTTTTCTAAAGCTTAAGAAAAGCTTTAAAGCCTGGGTATTGCTCAGGTAAAAGCCGAATACTGTAAAGTAAATATTTATACTCAAGCAAGAATATCTCTTTCAACATCAAGTCACTCCGTTCGTTTATACACCTATATGAGCAATGGGGAAAAAGAAAAAAGGGTCACAGAATCACAAAGCATTTAGTGATTGGTATTTGTCGTATATGCTTGTAGACACTTACACGTGTGTTTTTGGTAGTTTGGAGTTGGATGCAGCCTATTTCCTAGTCGAGCTGAATTAATAAAAAATATTGTTTCTACACTGCATCATGTTAAAAAGCTGTTCTGTTCTAAACTTTATTATTAATAACCATTTATGCTTATTAAAGAGATAATAACTAAGAGGTTCTAGTCGGGAGCTCCCGACTAGGGAATACCCTTAACCCTCTTCTTCCAACATCAAATGCATATATATATTCTATTTTAGAAGCAACAGATCATGTTTCGTGACTCTAGCTTTTATTATTTACCGAAATTGCCCAAAAAACAGGATATCGATATCGATTTTTATTGATTGCTTGGAAACGGCGTAAGTTATCGATTATCGAAAACAAACTCGATCTGCACAGGCACTAGGAGCATCTACATCTAATTTTCAAGTCTCTAGCTCTTATAGGTTCTAAGATCCTTGCGTTCATACATACGGACGGACGGACGGACGGACGGACGGACGGACGGACGGACGGATGGACAGACAGACGGACATTGCTAGATCGACTCGGCTATTGATGCTGATCAAGAATATATTTACTTTATGGGGTCGGAGATACTTCCTTTTGCCTGTTAAATACATTTGGATTTTACACAAATGCAATATACAATATACAGTATAAAAAGCCGTTTGTCCGAAATTGCTTTTGCCTGCACCCACATTCATGCCTTCTGACGCTCCCGTTTATCTCCATACTGTTACTCTGTTTTCGTTGTACGACAATAATGCTAAATATGCTTGGCGATGCTTTGGGGGGTATAATGAGCCACACTATGCATTTAAAAGCGCTCCGAGTGTGCCAGTTAATTTGCAGACTGAGAATGGTCTTCATTACCAACCACTCACACAAAAAAACGCACGTCCACACACGAGCACACACTGGAAAACATGCAACAAAATGTAAAGCAATTAAAAGCAGTGCTGCACAACATGAAGCGCAAAACGAAAATATCCATAAAACATGGACAGCAGCCCAAATTTGACCTTTCGCGTTTCATATAACAGACTGCCTGCTGCGGCTACAAGTGGCCCACGATTTTGTTTTTGAGGTTAAAGTGCAAAAATTGCAAGCAAGTGTGTATCATAATACTCCATGGGGTTAAATATTTACGGACACGCGCAGTCCCGTTTCGGACTCTCAATGCATACGCTTCAGGTAATATATTTTTATGAAGATGACACTGCGCTGTGCTAAATGCTTCCAACTGCTAAACCAAACAAAACAAATATTAGTTTATCAGAGAACTTTTCAAATAGAACATTTATGTGCATATAACATGCTTAATGTAAGAAAATATGGCAACAATTGTTTAATATGTGTAAAAATATGTATTTCTATTCTTTTTTTTTTTTCTTAATTAAAATCAGAAAAGATTCGATTTCTTCGCCATGCTGATGATTAAATACCCTTTCAAATTAGAACACTGTTCTAATCTTAGTTCTGAAAAATACTTAGCAGATAGCTTCATAGAATCGGACAGACGAAATTGGTTTTACTAACACAGATCCAAATGCTCTTAATTGAGTTAAATATCTCTTTCAATATTTTACAGTTTTAGTGACGAAATTAAAATACCCTCTACAAGGATATAAAGAGGTAGTACATGGTTGGGTAGCTGGACTCAGCTAAAACGTGAATACATTTCATACCCCAAGAGGTAGTACATGGTTGGGTAGCTGGACTCAGCTAAAACGTGAATACATTTCATACCCCCCCCCCCCCCCCCCCCCCCCCCCCACCCGAGAAGGTCATAAGCAAATACCCTCTACAAGGATATAAAGAGGTAGTACATGGTTGGGTAGCTGGACTCAGCTAAAACGTGAATACATTTCATACCCCCCCCCCCCCCCCCCGCGAAGGTCATAAGCAAAAGCGCGTCGCTTAGTTTTTCATTTATATAGCTCCTCGCATTTCCCTGAGAAAGTGTTGGCCAGCAGTCGGCCGGCAAAACTGACATCAGGCCAGTATCCGGATTTTTTCTGCGTTTGGCGCTTTCGTTAGCAATTATGCAAATTGGGAGATTGCTGCAGGATGATATTGTGAAATTCCATGCATTTACAATTTTCTAATCAATGAATTTTAATTTATGTCTTCGCTCCCAGTTGTTGTACATTTTCGAATGCTTCCCGCGCATAGTTGCAAATTTTTGTAAATGTTTAAGTTTTTAATGTGTAACAGCTATTTGACTTTTTACAGAGACATCCAATAGCGGTAGGATTTTTTAATTAAGAAATGATGCTTCAACTATAAATCTCAGCAAAAATGTACCTTAACATAATTTACTGGAGGATGGAGGATGTCTATAAAAATTATTAAAGCTTTTAACATAACTAGAACAGGCGAGGATAAGGGCACAAGGATAACGAAAAACACGTTTCTGATCCGTAATTAAGTTAACGTTTAAATTTCATAAAATTTTCAGCTTCATCAATATTCATCGCGAATCCAAACAATTTAACAATATTGGGATCCTCTTTTAATTTGTCTAGCAGTTGCGTCACGTTTTAATTCTTAATTAAATAAATGATTTCCATTGACAACATTAAATATTGGCACAAGGGAAATATTAAAATAAATAAAATGCTGCCCATCCCCAACATTTTATTTTGCGTCATGCATCGCAAAAGTTATGGAAATCGGCAATAGTACTTATAAACTCCAACTCATATATTCAAGCACGTAAGTAAAGTTACTGTTTTCCTTGTACATTTCTACATATGTACATCAGACTTGTAAAACAAAAACTTGTTCCATGAGCGTAATTAGAAGCCTTACTGGACTGAATTGTTGCTAGCATCGTGCTTAAAATGCTCTTTTGGCGTTAAATTTATGACAACCGCACATGTTCGTTGCTGTCGTACTCAAAGGCAACAGCAGACGCATTAACTCTAGCAGCCAAAACTAAGCCACTGGCGGCATAGGTGGTCAGAAAGGCGCCCACACTTTAGAAACTTTCCAAGAATGTGTGGCTTCTATTAGGAAGCAGCTGCGTCATTAAAAAATTTTCAAAAATATTGCACTCCACCGGCATTGGCGGTAGCCACATCGTTTCGATACCCGGGGGTAAAACGCTGAGTAAAACACATCCTTAATTTGAGTTTGTATGTACCCCACCACGAGACGAAACATTTTTTATTGGTCATTTGTATCACTCATTACTTGTAAGTTTTGCCGTTTATTTGTTAATAATTTGTAAAAGCAAACAAAACAAACAAACAATCCTGTTTTATCTTGGATCTTGCGTCTTTCTAAGATACCAATCAAAATCTTGAATATGATTGTGTAATCAAATCCCACTTTATAATTTTAATGAGGACTAAAATATTTAGTTCTTTCGTACAATTATTTATTTTCTATCAATGTCATTAAAACAATTGCAATATCGCTACCTTTCCTGTTTATGTTGCTTGGGGAAAACAATTAAAGTGGGTGCCTTTTTTTCCAATTGATAATGAAATGCAATTAGAAAGTGTGCAGAATTTAATGCTATAAACAGTGCAAACCACTCGAAAAGGAAAAATGGGAAAATTGATGGTGCTAAATGTAACAATAGAAGTAATTTACACAATTTCCTCTTTCATTCGCATTCCCTAAAAGATTTTGCCTTGCAATGCAACGTGAAGCCAGCATAGAGCCTGCATAATAAAGCAGGTTGTCTGTAATTAAAGTTTGTCGAAGCCTGGCTACTGCACTGTTGACGACGGCAGCAGCAGCATCACAAAGCATCATCAGAAAATCAATCCCCGCATCACGACACCGCCACAGCGGAAAATAGAATTCAATTAACGCGCTTAAATTAAACTGCCACTTCCGGTTTTGATGACGTTTTAATCTGAGCCTGCATTGGGCAGACAAGAGAAAATTTTGCGGTGTGGTCATACACTTTTGCCGATCCAACAAGTGACCGTTGCTGACAACAACGGCGCCGTATCGCCTCTTGCGTGACACATGAATGCTGAGGTTGGGCTAGCTACGCAATTTTTCAATTTATTTCAACTCAAGTTTTAAAATTATCTAAAGTGGTAGCAGACGGGTCCAATCGTCAGTCTTGACTGTGTGTCGTATCCTTCGCTTATTTCCCTTGATGTTTAGCCTTGTATTTAATTTACTACATATCACAAACAGATAATATTGGCTGTACCAATGTCCTTACCAACTCCAAGAATAGTTCAAATTGAATCGTTAAATAGCTTTATTTACGAAACTGCATTTCAGTCATAAGCAGTTAATAAATTTTTGCAGGCCTTACATAGTTACATATTAAAAAATGAATTTATGTTCAGCTGCAGCAACACAAAGAGCGCTAACATTTACTTTTGTGTACTTTGCGAGTGCCATCAGTTGTCAGTCATTTACTCAGAAGCTGTGGCTGGGGATTTATTTAGCAGGTGGTAAGCTTAGAAAGTGCAACAAAGCAATTTAGATTTAATTAAATTAATTTAAAAAAAACTTTAGCTTTAGTCAGTAGCGTGCAACTACCAAGTGTTTCAAAGGTACTCGGGGGAGATTATTCAAGGCATATCTTACGAGCTGTTGCTTTTAGACAGTTGGCAGTTGTCAAACAATGATCACAGGTCTTAGCCTTTATTAACGTCATGTTGCCAAATACCCTATGGCGCAATTTACCTTCCGGTCGGCATTGCTTGAAGGCGAAAGCAATGATTGCATATATCTCTTCGGCAATACTTGAACGAATGGGAGTGAAAAAACCACGGCAGATAGGACATTTTTCAGTGCGAATGCGGCACTCGAGACAAAGCACATGTCCATTCTGGCACTGCATAACTGGAGGTGCTATAATAGAGTTGCACACAGGACACTCTATAGCCTTCAGAATACTGTCTACAATTATGACCAGCCGTTTCAGACTGGTTGGCATGGGAGCGCAGCTGATGCTCTGTAAAATACAAAAATAAATATGAAATTAGTTTTATACTGACCAATATTAAAGTTCTTACGTTCTCGTCACAGTCGAATTCATGGTCGCTATTCCAACACAAAATTGTAACGTGATCTATTTGGCTTTTAACAATTTGGGCAACTTCGGCTATCCTCATACCAAGAATATCAACACCGTTAACCTGAAAATTAAAAATTTAAAAGAAATGTAATACTTTAAAATAAGTTGTATCTAGTTTGGATAAGATCCTGTAAATGTTGTTATGCTGTTAATGTTGGGTAAGATTCGTACATGTGTGATTAAATGGTTAAATTAAGTACTAATAAATCAATAGTTAGGTTAAACGCTTCTCGCTGGACTTCGTCGTGTAAATATTACGTAAAGCAGTTGCACTGCTTAATTTCTATTGAACGTGGGTCCCTGTTAACCCAAAGTAAACTGTAACGGCTGCAATACGTATATTGTGGTTTGATATTTAGTAAACACTTGCTTTTTAAGACAAATTTTTGTTAAGATGCCTCTGCCATTTGGTTTGTACACCTAACAGCAATATTTTTAGTTAGCTAGTAGTCATATCTAACAGTAGAGCAAAGGAAAAATTATGACATGTAAATAGGTAACATTTATTTATTATTGATTATGATTATTAGACTATTAGAATAATAATAATAATAATAATAATAATAATAATAATAATAATAATAATAATAATAATAATAATAATAGTAATAATAATATTAATAATACTAATAATAATAATAATAATAATAATAATAATAATAATAATAATAATAATAATAATAATAATAATAATAATAATAATAATAATAATAATAATAATAATAATAATAATAATAATAATAATAATAAATAATAATAATAATGACAATTCTATAGAATTCTATAGTCGCATGGACAAAAAATCATAGCATTAAACGAACCAACCTTTAAAATGCAATCACCGGCCTTTAGGCCACGGAGAGAGGCAGGTGTGCCCGCGGCCACTTCACAAACCTAGACCAAACAAATACAATAAGTAAATAAATTTTAGACAAATTTCAAAGAGGGTATAAAGTGTATACCCAAGGATATGGATCCCACTTGCTGCGCGTCAAACAAAATCCATACTTCTCAATTTTAGGTGCGGCACGTGGTATTGTTAAGAGACGCACGGATGACTCTTGATCTTGACGGTACCTTTCGGTATTGCTGGCATTAATTGCGTTTTTTCCATTTTCATTTAAGTTGCGCTCTTGCATTAGACACGTTTACTCTGTTCAACTCTGTCAGAACTAAGCCGAAAGTTTTAATACGAGCCGCGGAGCATCAAAATAGATACGTGTTTAACGCGTGCTCACAATAAACATACTGCCTCAGAGTTTTTACTCTAAACGCTCGATTCGCACTTGGTCTTTACTTTGTTTGGCTCGTAGTCTCCCTGTGTAGTCGCTACGCTGTTTAACGCTCGCAGCATCCACAGTTGCTCATCACCGTGTATATATTTTGGAGATTTTTGTGAGATACTCGTTCATATGAGGTGAAGAGCGGCTTATTGTAATCGTATAGAGCATCCGGAGGCGTGAACTGCCACCATCAAAATTAGTGAATCCATTCGTACAGAAAATATATAAGCTTTTAGCGAGTGCTTGAATAAAAATTAATATAACATACTCCCCGCAATATTTACACAGTTGGTTAGATTTGTATTAGTTGGCAGATATTGCTGTTGTGAACGTGATAAAAAATACATAGTTTTATAGCAATTTTAAAAATGTTACTTATCAAATATCGATTTTAACTCTGCGATATTCATTCTGCTATGAAAGGATTACGTGCCTAAGATAGCATATCCGATCCTGTAAGTTTTTCTTTTATCTGGGGCACAGCCAAGAGAACGAAAGACTTAGTTAAATAAATGGTCCGAAGCGCATATTATGTATAAAAACAATTTATTATAAAAACCAATTTTCTGCCACGCCGTTGTTCGCTACGCCGTTGAAGTATTTAGTTGGTTCTTTGCGCGCAGGTTATGTTAAATATTAAAATTGTTAATTATTGTACCGCACACCTAGCAAGCTTCCGAAAACAACATGGGCGGTTAACGTTTCGAATGAACCTTTTAATTTGTGTTTAATTTTAATTTGTTTAACTCAATAACGAAATTTAGAGCCAAATGGTCAGTTAAATAAACCCAGCAACTACCTGTCAAGCTTGTAGCATAAAATTTAATGTTTTCGATTGGCTTGGTCACAACAACAATTGGATTTTATTAATCAGAAGGCAAACAACTTATTTCAAGTGCGGCTGCCACACAAATGGTATAAAAAATTTACATTTTTGAAATACCTACTGTCAGATTTGTAATCAAATTAGTTAAACACACAAATTCAGTCTCAAGTGGGATTATATTATTTTTTCTGGAAAAATAAACAAATTCATATTTTTATTTCCATATGCAGTGCTTGCAAAGCTTTACGCAGTAACGACCGTATAAGCTTTCTGCAGGTGGCGCTTTAGAGTTAAGGTCAGCTTACTTCGGGCCGTCTGTTGCTGCTTAGCGAAGCCACAGTTTACTTTTAGCTCTTTGAGTTTGCGCAGGTGTCGCTTGCAAGTTCCGTTTACGCGAAGTGGGAGTGCGCTATCGGTGCAGGTTTAACGTATCCCGTTAATCACATTAACAATATAAGCAGTGATACATAATTATACAAGTTAAAGTAAGTTGCAAGAACTTTATAGGTACTTGAGAGCCACGGACTGGCATTGGGCTCGGCGTAAGCTTTCAGTGACTTGTGTGCTTGATTTGAAAGCGATTCTAGACAGTTGAATTTTTTTTTTTTTTTATAAGCATGACTGCGTTATTAGCAAAATGACCTTACCTGTGGCTAGATACAAAGCCCTTCTGCAATTTTATTGTTTTGGCGTTTAAAGTGGAAAAAAATACAAGAATAAATGAAAATGAAATGTTTAATATTAATGCGCGCCAACGCACCTTTACGAAAATGATCAGGAACTAAATGTTATAAGTTTACAAAATCAATGAGCGTTGAAAATATATAAATATACCGTACATATATAGGTAATTGCATACATTAACATGTGCTGCTTACATGTGTATATGTTATTTCTGTTAAAGCGGGCATCGATTGCGGTGGCGCATGCGCAGCAAGTTTTGACTGTTTGGGGTTTCTGGGTCTCTGCCGAACGTTTCGTTATTTTTGTTTTTTGAGTTTTTTGTTGCTGTAGCATTTGTGTAACTGTGACGCAATTCTCGTGTGAAGTTGTGTGTGTTTCGACTTGTTGGCTATTGGCTGAAAACGAAAGCGGCAAAACCCCCATTAATTGTACATTTGTACACACATATATATATTTATGTACTTATGTATGCTGCCACTATTGCTTACATTGCAAAAGCGAACAGCTGTTTTAGCGTTTAGCTGTTTGGCAGTTTATCTGGTTTGTTAGTTATAAATTTCGCGCGCCAATGATTAGTTCATTTAAGTTGTGAAGTAAAGTATAAAGATTCACTCTGAATCTCGTTAATTTAATATATAAATTACAAATAACGGTAAATGTTGCAATTTTTAATAATTCAACTTATTATTGGAGCACATCGAGTTGGTGTTGAAAACAAATTATTGTTATTGCTTTCATACAGTGAAAACAACCTTTCGTGGACAGCGTCTGTCTGGCATTTATTGTGCTGTCAAGATGAGTCTCCGCCTAATGGAGGCAGATTGCGGATACTGAACCTTTAGATTTCGAAATGATCGATTTAACTAAAATATTTGCTTTTCTTGAAAAATTTACTTTGCTTATGGTTTAGTACATTTTGTCTATGTTCAAACCCTATGTAATCGTCATTTGAATATTTCTTTCAATATGCGATTACATTTGAGTGTAGCGAGCAATAACTCCAGAAGCAGTATATGTATCGTCGCTTACGGCAATTACGACTCTATCCCTAGCTCGACCTCTGAATATTCTTTAAAGAACCGTCCAAGTGAGTTAATGTGGTTTGAGCGAAAATGTCCAAGATAGGGGTCTACAAGGTGTCTATCGGCTAGCGAATATACTTTGATTTTGATTCGGTTCTGGATTCCTTTTTCTTGGCATTGAAAACTATTTGTATTTAAACTATGCTAAGACAATTACTCAACGTTTATAATAACTTAATTTGAAGCTAAAAAATCAAGTTAAATTATTATTGATTTACTATATAAGTCGATGTGATCAGAATCGGCACTATTCGCTTAGCTTTTCTTTTGATACAATTTTGACATTCGCTTGCCTTTCGACTGTGAGCACTTCACGTTTTCGACGTCACACAAATTTCATGGCCAATGTCGGATAGAAGTGAAGTGAAGTGGGCGCTCGTTCGACTTAAAGTAAGTTCATTGTGAGTGTTCAGGTCTTTCCATGTATGTATGTATGTAGCTTTTTAAGTTGCACACTTATAAATCAAAATTTCAGATTGGAAATAATAAATATTTTCTTATTAGTTAGTAACTAGATAATAGTTACATTTAGTACGGAGTGGAAAACTTCATGGCTGGGCAAACACGGAAGAGTATGATAATCAATAGATGAAAATATAAACTCGTCATACACGAAACCCCTTAGGCCGATTCTGCACACTTTAGATAATTTGAATGCTTCTTCTTTCCCTAACCTATGAAGAATCCAGTCTATTTTGTCTTAGTTCCCGCTCAATATTTAAAAAGGAAGGAGGTATTGAAAAACACATAAAGTTGTTCTGCATTAAAATTTGGATCCAAAATTCCAGATTTGAGGTGTCTAATTTTTAAAGTCTCTGAAATCAGCTTACAATGCTCGTCTTTCTGGCTAATAGTTTATTAAAAAGTGTAATTGTTCAGTTACCATTTTGAGTGAGTACAGGGTATACAAATTGCATTGCTTTCCATGACAACTATAACGCTTTAGCGGATGCTGCGCTTAGCGGCCTTACTGCGTAGCTTGATGTACTTGAACTTGCGTTGCCCGTACTACTCATTCATAAAATTACACGGACTCAGTTTTCGTCGCTGCTTATTTGATTCGCACATTTCCGGTTGTGGCTGTGGCCAACTACTTCTAGTGCTTATATGTATATACCTTCGATCTTTTTTGTATAAGTGAATGCAATGCCAAAGTTTTGCCACCCCTTCTAATTTATATGCGTAATTTTATGCTATTTTGCTTGCGATGCCTGTGGCGGTGAACGCGACGTATGCTTAATTACAACCAGTAGGCAAAAATATGGTCTGACGTTGGCAACTGTGCAACTTTCAACAGTCTGCTAATTAATTGTGTTTCGAAGCTGATGCCAAGAGGCAAAAGAATTGCCAAAAAGGTGCAAACATTATTACGGCAATATTAAAGTCCAGTGCCCTCTCATAATTAATAGTACATGAAAAGAAATAACCGTTGAGTTAGGTTTGTAAGCAATTTGTACGTGCGGCGCATACAAAACAGGACCTTGAACTGAGGTTCGCTAACCGTCTTTACGGCTTTTCAACTATTAATAGGGCTTTCCACTCATTTTTAAATATATATGGATGTGCTTAAGAGTGCCAGATTCAGTGAACACACGCTTTTGTGCATGTGTATGCTTAGATAAATTACTTAAAATACTTCGCACGTTTACTCTTCAACGTCAAAAAGGTGTAAATATATATGTCTAGAAATCAAGCTCACACAATCAAACTCTCGTTATCCTTACCTTATCTCTTACAGTTCCGTTAATATGCTGCAGCAATGCACTATTAAGGCACCCAATGGTGCCTTGGGTTTGAATTTGAGTCGTGCACCATGGGACCCCTATCCGTGGGTCAGCGGAGTGCAGGATGAGTCCAATGCGCAGTTGGGTGGCGTTTGCATCGGTGATACGCTGCTGCAGCTAAACGGAAAGGATGTGTTAGGCATGAGGATCAGCGAGCTAGCCACGCGACTAAGCGAACACTGGCTTACCGGCGCTGAGCATGTGACTATGATGATGTGGCGACAGCAGCCAAGCGGGTCGATTTCGACTGGCGATTCGATGGAATCGACGCATGTTGTGGTAAGCCAAAAGCTTGCATGGTTTCAAAATTGTTATTACATTCGTTATATGTGTATGCCATATAATATATGTTAGTTAATCAAACAATTCACAGTATATTTTATGCAATAAATGTATCATCAGAGGCTACCGTTTCTATTGCTTTACTTTTGGCAAACAAACAAAGGCTTACTGACAAAATGTTCTAATGTCCGAAAAAATTCTTACACTGATTCACCCATCATGCAAGTAATTTATCAAACTTAAATATTTCACTCCAAAATTGATGTCAATTTAAAAGTGCAGCATCTTTTTGCCCTGAGGGCGTCTGTCCCCCAAGGTTTTTATCTGACAGTCATATTCCAGTGAACTTTATTAAATTTGACACTTTGTATGCAGTACTTCATTAAAAATTCAATTGACCCAAATTTAGCAAGGATGCAAACAACCAAAATATAATACATGACGCAATGCCTCATGTCTCACTAATGTACTCTATGACAGTCTGTATTACAAATCCATATAAATTTCAATCAAGGTAGCCTCCAAATGCTTATGGCTTAACGCTGGGGTAAACGATTTAATAGTTAAATGTATATTTGAAGTGTGTGTGTGGAATGAATGCAAGCACTTTACAGTATAAACTATTTAGTTATCAGTCATTGACTTAAAAAAACACTTACTTTTGGCTAGTTGGTATACTAAAAGATTTTTAAAAACAAATATTTTTAAGAAATCATTGCGCACTTGTTAATGCAAGTATCTATCCTGATCATAGAAAAAGTTTATTCAAAATGCTAAATTAAACTATCTTCTTTCTTTTCGTTAATTTGTCTTTGCAGCACCATGGCCTTAACCAACAATCGCTGCAAAAGTTTGCAACATGCCTGCAACATATTGCCCAACTACTGGAATGTCCTGTTTGTTGTGATGTAAGAAAATAAACTAATATATATATACTCTTTACATCTATATGTATACAAGGGGGGTTTTGCCGGCGTTGCCCGTTGCATCTTTTTGCTTCAAATTTGATATATAACTTTCTCCCATTTCCGCCAGTAGACAATTTTAATCTACTCGCACTATCTTGAACTTAACGTGTAAAGTTCTATTTTTATAAAATATTTAAAAATCTGTTTAAAATCTATCGATCAAAGAACTACATATTAGAACCAACGGTTTCCGGCTATGTTAGTCTTGTAGTGAGAATCCTCAAGCCCTTTGACAATTCTATCTAAGAGCTGTGAATTTGGTGAAAAACGAAGGAAATAAATTTTCACAAAGATGACTTTGTAGCCGAATGATTTTTCGCTATTATTACAGTTGTGAGTAGAATTTCCCAAACCCCCCCTTAACGTGCATTTTTACCACATAATATAACTACAGCGTCGCACCTCTTACGGTTTGCATTGTATGTTGATCACCAATCAGTCAGTCCGACAGTTTTATATATAGAGATATATATTTATTTTTGTATGAGATTTAAACAAGAGATTGGTGAATGCTGCCATCGGCGCTCTTTAAAACGGGCATGTGAGTTGCATATTGATTAGGTCGGTGGTCTTTTGGCGTGCATCGTCAGTTGGTTGCCAGTTGCCGGTTTTAGTTTTAGTTCGTCATTATCTAAGTTAACCTAACTCAACTCTGGTCGCAAAACTTAGTTGGCAGTTGCCGCTTGTTTCCCTTTGTGAGCCGCCTCCATCATCATACACCGCCACGCCCTCGCCCATGCTGTTCTTCCGGCATTGCGTTGATTTTGCTGCGCAAGTTTGTTGCTAATCACTTGACCGTGTATAAAGTTGAAACGTCGAGCTGTACCAGTGATTGCGTGGCCATGCCCATGCTGCAGGTATGCTGTCGTGGTATTGTTTACACAATTACTTACAGCCTGACGCTGTCATGACTACAAATAACGGCCGATGTTGTTAGTTAATACCCGTTTGCTTTGTTATTACTCACCTATACTTATATTTTCGAAGCTCTATTTTTATTTTTTAACATTTCATTTGTGTGTGATATATGTATATAGTATATGTACACATGCACATATGTATGAATATATGGACACAAAATCATATATTTCGTATGCTTCTTAAATGTTTGCTATTGCATGTGATTTGATTAGCTTTGTCCGCCTACCTGCCGGCACTTTTGCGAAATATATCGAGCATGCTGGCATGATTGATTACCAAATTTAAAAGTCAAATATTGTCGATTAGGCATGACCAGCACTACAGTCGGCCGGGTCATTTTCTTGCGGCACCTGCTACACAGTGCCCCAAGTGCCCTATCTGTACTCAAAGCTTGCGCTAGAATTTAAATTAAAGTTACGGCCAGTGGCTGTTGAAAAGTGCTATGCTGTAAATTTGTTATAGCTACCATGTCAGCAAACACATAACTTCAATTAATTAGACAGAATAAAACGGTCGGCACCTCCAGCCCGGTATATTTAGACTTGCATTTAAATATTAAAGTTATCTTCTAATGAAATTTAACATGCAAAAACACAGTGCCATGTGTTGACCGTAAATAAAGCATTAAGCATGTGGCATGAGAGCAAACCAGAGACGCACAGACGGTTGCATTTGTCACTTGGACAAGCGAACATACATACTAAATACTTACATAGGGTTCGGATGGGCCGATTCGGCTCTATTGGAGCAGCCTTTCAAATAAGCTGAAGACATTGCTTACACGACGACTGCCTCCTGTCTTGCTGCCAACACTGAATGCGTTATGTGCTTATTAACCTTAACTTAGTTTATAGAAAGCACTCTTTAATAGTGCCTCAGTATGTATTTGTCTGGCTTGCGGCCTACTTTAGCGTTCTATATCATATTTGGAAACTCTTTGTACGGCACGAATAAAGCATCACTTTCCGGGTATCTAAATTAAGAGTTTATGTGTATGGATTTGAATATATGATAATAAGTAGGTTGTGCCAATGTGTATGCAAACCAGCAAGTCCATTAAGTTATTAAGGGATTTGTTGCGATAGATTTTCAATAATTCTATAAAAGCATTCTCTTACATTCACACATTTGTATAGTATACTTCAGTATGCCTCTACCTAATGCTAAATTCAACCTATAAATAACAAATTAAGACAACTTTGTGCATTTAGTCGTCTGTATCTCTCCTTTGAAGCCTTTTGTTGACTTTACATAACACCCAAATCGCAATTTCATTATATTAAATATGCATAAATTTAACATTTCATAAGTTGCAAACGCATACTGAAGAAATAATTAGAATAGTTATTTTCTAGACTAGTGGGTATCCCTTGACTTTGCTTAAGGCACCATTTCCCGCTAACAGACACTACTCGTACTATTTTTAATTCCAAGTCTTAAATTGTATTATATTTTAGATAAACAAAAAATATATGAAAATCTAATAAGATAAAAATTTAAAAAAGATCCCTGGAAATAAATTAAGAGCCGAAACATCACCCACTTAATCTTTGGCCCCTTTTCCACCACGGAATATGCTCTACTATTTGCTTTAAGGCATTTATTTTCTTATATATTATTATTATGGGATTGGAAGCAAATCGGTTTACATTTATAAAAATTGAATTTCATATTTGTAAATGATGGCAAAAACAATTCAAGCTGCTGTACAAAATTGTGTCTTTATTGCTACATATTTATAGCTGCTCCTGTGCACATCGAGGCAGGGCCACGTACATAAGTACATGCATTTAAATACGTACATGCAAAACGCATCAATTGAATTCCTCTCACATAATACAGTTATATTATTTTAATCCGCTTGTAATATTTCCTTTTTTTTATTTTCAATTTGTATGGAATCCTTTTATTCTTAAAGTATTGGCAAATGTATGTATGTAATTCAAAATTTCAAAAACGTTGATTATAAAATGGAGGACAACGACTATATCATTGTTAACGTTTCAATTCTAATTAATATTCTCTTTGCATAATTTCATACCTTTATTTAATTTGGGCTATGCTGCCTTCCTGCTGATGGCGACTTTATAACTGACCTCGCCATCACGTTCGTCGGTTACCTTGATTATGCCTACTGCGACTGCATTGGGTCAACTGCGGCTACTGGAATACAGGTTATTAAACCACCTGGCTGGCAGTGCTGCAACGGACACGTGCTTTGCAGTAATTGCCGTAACCGCTCTGAAAAGTGTCCGGTTTGCAGAGTGCCTTTGGGGCCACGGGGACGGTGCTTGCTGTCGGATAAATTATTTACGCTGCTGGCGGAGAATTTCCCTTGTGATGGTCGTAAGTATGGCTCATTCTTAATAGTCAAACAGGCAAGTCTGCCAAATGTTGTTGCGAGAAAACCTATTAATATGTCTTCAGTGCGCCAGTTGTTGGATAAACTTTTGGAATATCTGGTTGTAATCTACCTAAAATGGTGCTTAAATTAGCGTTGTCATTAGTATAATGTCTCTGCCTTGGACCATTATTTGCCTTTGCTTTAGTTTGAGCCAAGCCAAAAACTTCAGATTCCCATTCACATTACTTTTACGTAACAACCGTGAAAGGTACAACAGAATTACAAGGGAGCGCTATTTGTCAATGGCTCGGTGCAAAAGTTTTCACCTCCGTAATAACGTTTAGACGAAAAATTAAGCTGGTGTCAACATTTTCCTAAATCTCGGCACAAATTGAAAAGAAAAAAATATTAAAAAATTAAAAGCAGTATCCATTTAGAGTTGAGTGAAAAGTCCTTAGGTCCTTTTTAGGAGAAAGAGATTAGACAAAAACACTTTTTTTTAAGATAAGAGTATCATCCAAATATACCAATCATATAAAAAGTCTATTCTGTTTTCTTATTGTAGTTGTTTTTGTTTATTATATAATTATGTCGCATAAATTGCAAAAGTTTTTTACGCTTTTTGCCCTCCTCGCTGGATACTTTTTCTTAACATTGTTTTCTAGATTGCTTTGGTTGTTTTATATGACGGTGATGGTTTTTGTATCTTATACCTTATGCTTATGAAATGGGTACGAATGGAATAATAAACTTTTGGGACTGTATCCAAAGTATATGTAATCCGTCCGTCTGTATGCAAGAGGACGAAAAGGGGTATTATATTTATGAGCCTGCACTTTTGGTCAAGAGTTTCGATTCCACAAAAAAAAAAAACAAATTGAGTTTGAATACTTGTGCACGTATTATTAATGTATATCCAACAAAATTAGATTGTTCGTATGGTCAAAACATTTCGAGATATCTTTTAGTTAAGCTCTGCCCACTAGAGCACAATATGTTAAGATATCTGTCAATCGACTTAACCGAATTCCTGCAGTTTTCAATTTAAGCATTTCCATACAATACTTGCTAACTCGCAATAATGTGAAGTTGAAAACGTAGCTAACAAACGACAATAAAAGAAAACAATGACGTTGCTTTTCTAAAAGGCGGATGCATTTGCTCTTGTTGAATTTTCTTGGTACTTTGCGGTCTTAGTACTTGCCTCTAAATTAAGTGTGGTTTCTTTATAAAGAATTGCTTTAGTATTTTCACAATAAGTTCTTCGCATGTTTCTATGTATGTAAGCTTTTACTAAGTACTTATTTGTATTTGCAAGTTCCTTCACGATAAGCTCGTGGAAATGGCTACCGTGGCTACGAGTCAAAAAGGACAATTTCAATTGCCCAACAGCAACAGAAGTCGTGCAAGTGTGTAGGTTAAGTGTAACTCTTTTTTCTGTAGATAAATTTTCAGTTTTAAAACGCTTTCGAATATATACTTATGAATGCTCAAATATATTTTCTTCTTTCTATGTTTTTAATGTTTAGTTAAACAAGGCAAGAATACTGGCGTGGCCGCCGAATGCAATAACAATCACATCAGCGCCAATAAATGCACAAATGAATATCATAGTCAGCCAAAAATGGCATTGCCCAAATCAAATTCGGAAAAAAAGTCCAGAAAAACAGACCGTCAAGTGCTGGCGGACACAGAGCCTTCAGTTGTGAATAACGCTCGGGAGGAGGTCAGGAAGCAAGTTATGGGTATGCCGAAGGGAAATGAGGAAAGTGTGCAGGTACGAAATAATGTCAACGATGCAAACCTGCAACGTTGTGTGATAAAAGAGCAGAAGAAGGAAAATGTCTTGAAGGAGCTTCTACAGGACGGCAACAATATGCTCGTTAAACCAAAGTTAAAGTTGAGTAAGAAAAGTTGGCAGATTACAGGCCAAGATCAAGACGAATTGCACAGCAATGAAGTTGGAAACATAAATAATGGCCAACAGCACTTACTGGGACCGGGGCAGGTGTTGAAGCCAAGCAAAGGCCACCAGAAATATCAAAATTATCATTGCCCGACTGGGAAATCATGCAACAACCAGGCGAAACTTTTCCAGCCAACCAGTGCCAACAAAATGTCAACCGCCAAACAAGCGACCACCGCAGAGTCCCAAAAAGAGTTGGATACAGTCGCTGAAATTGCACTTGCTGCTGCAAAAAACAGTGCGGCGACCTTATCAACGGGGACCCATAAAGGGAAGCCCGAAGCGGAGGCGCTGGCCAAATTTTTGAACAGGCCATCAATAAAAACGCCGGTACACACGCACCCAGACGCGTCCAAGTGGTTGCTGCTACAGCATCTGAGCGCAGAGCATAACTTGGCTGCTGTGCACATCTATGGCACCTTTGGCCAACGCTTGCATGTCCAAATTCAAATGATGCCTCAGGAGAAGCATGTCTGTCTTAGTCTGAGTGAAACAACATCACCCGATGCCGGGTCTATTCAGGTGCATACATTTTTCTTAGCTGTGGTGGCGATCGGCACAGTTCGGAATGACAGCTATGCAGTATTCCTCTGGCACCTTAACCCGGACCAAGAGGTCCAGCAGAAATATCAAACAGTCATCGAGTCACAATGCAGACAGGTCAAATGGTTTGGCACAGCTCAGCCCCTCGCGCGGAGTTGGTCAGAGATTAGCGCTGCAGGCGAATTTCTTACATGGACCGTCAAAAAACAAAGCTCCTGCACGCGTTTTGATATTACCGTGAAACGAAAATAGCACTAAATTCTTATTTTAAGTTACTGCCATGCTTCTATTTGCAAATTCAATTGTAGATGTGTACTGATTTTTGCATGGCATGTAGCAAAAATTAATTCGCACGAATGCACAGAAATACATAACTAGTGCAAATGGTAAAAGTATCAATTTAAAATAGTTTGCATAACGTACATATGTACAATCTGATTTTTTTCTAGCAAATTTGAATAGTGAAAATACAAGCTCCTTCCCTTTTGAATTGTATACTATGTTAATTATATTTGCATTTTTTCATCTCGTTCATAGCATGATTTTAAATATGGAAAATACAATTTTAAATGTGTTAAGTCAGCTGAATTTTTAATTAATAAAAGCATTTAGAAATATGCTTGCCTGGTGTGGCAGGTACCCGGCTACATCATGACATGATTGCCCATTAAACTCTTATCCGCGAGGAGTTATTTTTTCATTTTTTATACATATTTGCATAAAACCAACAACATCAAACTGCCGCTGTTTCCTGATAATTGACTTGCACGCAAATTAATGTTTTTTGCTTCGCACATATATATGTACATGCATATAAGTATAAACATTTGAATATATGCACCAGTAGATATATGTATTTATTATTGAAATTGCAGTTGTGAGTGCGACTGTTACATAGAGAAAATTGCTGTAAATGGTGTATAAACTAAAAAAAATGCATTAGTAAAAAAATCATAGGGCAACATTATTCTTGGTCAAAATGCATGTGTAAATGGTAATCCCATATAGGCATAGGTCAAAACCATCCCCATAACTCGGTCAAATCTCATCCGATTTTTACGAGGCGTGGGTCCTTTTTCATTGCTCGGCCCCTTGATAAATTTAGCATATAATTCTGGCAACATTATCCTTGTTTTAGGGTTTTTAGGGACCGTCATTCTGATTTACTTTTACTTAGGAATTTACTTTTCCAGGAAAAACCATCAGCAAAATATTCTAAATAGCTTTAACATTCATTCTATAGAAAATTCAAGCTATATAAAATCTATGTATACTTATGTATGTAAAATTTGTATATGAACGCAGTCCTACCTTTTAACATTGAATAATAAGTCTTATTACCCAATGCGCCTGCGCTAAGGCGACACCAGCACTAATACCTTAAAAATCAAAGCTCACCACTATTAAAGCTCCTGCGTCTACCTACAGAACCCGCGAGTAATAAAGATAACGGGATAAAAAGCGTTAAGACCAATACCGTGAGACCTGTCTTCATAGAAAAAGACTAATTGACAAACAGACATAGTTATATAGCCTCGGCGTTAATATTGATTAGAAATTATGGGTTCGGACACAATAAACATAACATCTTCTGCAGGGGCGTAAAAGTTATTTTAAATAATTAGCAATCATATTTATGATTGTAATTTATGTGTGCTTCATTCTGTTTGTTGTAGACTCTAGACTCAGTGCCGATGATCAACAAGAAGACTCAATGGGCTCAATCAGTTGACTCAAAAGTATTATAGGTGCACATCCATAACGCACATGTATCACACATGAATATTCATATTTACACACGATATGCATACATACATAGCTTTTGGAATAACAGCTGTTCATTACGCTCATTTTTTTTTATTCTCTCTGTTATACCCTTTAAGCAGAATTATGTGGGAGGAGTATAAGGCAATGCATTCGCCACAAAGATCTTTTCCTATATGTATATGTGCATAATTATTTATGAACCTTCATATACTTATTTACATTTGAACGTTTTTCTGGCAGCATAAAAATATATGAACATTAAAATATATTTGTCGATTTTAAACATTTTGTAAGTACTCGGTATTCCTTAGTCGAATATATGACACTTTTGACTCGCATTTGTGCTCTTCGATTCTTCTTTCGGTGTGTTCGTATATGTTTGCAATTAGTTTTTTTCGATGAGCGTCTCAGTCACCTCTGTTCCGCGTTCATTGTATATATACGTAGATTGTATGTGTATAGTGATTTGTTTAATTTGAGTTTATAATTAATTTGTTAACAAACATTAGCGAGCGCATTTGTAACAAAAATAATAAGATTCCGTGTTTGTCGAAATTTGGAAAACATAGCAGACAATGCGGCCGCCATTGTAAGTTGTTCCCCAATATCGGTGCTCCGCTGGCGTCGCTTAGCTCATTTGTTCTCTCGTCTTCGTTACGTTCACCATTCTCGTTTTCGCGCGCATTCTTTTACTATTCACTTGCCATTCGGTCAGTCATTTAATTACGCCACATACATACATACATACATGTGTATATGAATGTGTGTGCATGGATTTTGTTTTTCTTTTTGATGTGCTAGACAATCATGAACAGCGAAAGAGGTGAGTAAATGTGTTGGGAATATAATACAGTTAAATTATAACAATACACGCTACTCTTTGATAAATGCAACACCCGAATTCTCAACATTGTAGACATACCATATAAATTCTTGCAAAGTGCCAAAGACTAAAATATATATTTCATATTTTAAAAAAAATTAAATTAAACTGCTCCACATATGTATGTATTTTTCGATTTAATTAAATTGGAAAAACTAAAAGCTTATCCGTTGGCCACGGATTTTTCTTTAAGCGCAGTGTTTGCAATCGATCCGATTTAGTTGCGTGAGCTAGAGTGTATTGTCTATACAGTTCAAATTTTCGCTTTTACAATACATACATACATACATATGTCAAAAAAGTAACAAATAAATAAAAAACCAAATTCCCTCATATTTTTGCAAACATACAATGTTTACATTGTAAGTTAATGATAAAAGAAAACAATTCTATTTGATTAAAACAATATCAAATACTCGATATTTTCTACAATTTCGTACAATTGTTATTCGCGAAAAAATTATTTGGAGAGATTGCTTTAAAAAAAGCGTGTATATGATATATAATGGAAATAAAAAATTAATTGTGTGTATTGTACTTAAACTTGTGGTGAATTTAGATGTTTATGATATTGTGGCGACTAGTGATGGACCAAAGTTGCAGGGCTTTCGCAAAAACTCTTTAGATGAGTTGTACAATTCTAAAGTGCAACAGGAAATTGAATCCAATTCGACACCTGTGCAATTGTTGCGACGTGTCAGTGGGACGGTAACACAGAGCATACTCAGTGACTTGGAGCCGGAAACGCAACACTTGCTGGGTGGAGCTGTGATGGGGCCTAGAGATGGTGCCCAAAAGCGCCCGCAGCCCCCACCGCGATCCAACACGAATTCCAGGGTACAGCAGAACCCTTTCAACGAGAGTGGAACAGGTAAGTGTATTGCTTTCTTTGCATTCTAACCTATGTATGTACATACATACATATATATGCTCCAATGTGTAACCTTATTTATTTGTACTTTTACGCGTGCAAAAATGTGTAAACACACACACAAAAAGCGATTCATCCTCATACAGTTTAAATAGTTCCAGTTTTGTCATATACATACATATTTTAAGAGCATAATGCAAAGCTCCGACGTAGTCAATTATTTTCTCCGGTAATAAATTTTATGCACATGTATAATCTAACGCGTGCACGCAGGATCAAATGCACGCAGACCAAGTCGCTTACAGAAGACATCGGCGCCAGGACGACACTGGCAAAAGAACAGACATTCCTTCGATTTCACTGCAAACTGCGCTATTTTGACAACCAACTGATGGTGTTCTCTTTAAGCTCAGGTACATAGAGAAAAAGAGCAAACGCTTATTTAAAGTTTTTGCCGCGCTCAGCCGGTGTTTGGTTCGATTCTTGGCTTTTGTGCGCCAGTGTTTGTCACGCGCTCTGCTGGTTGGGGTGTCACCGGTTTGATTGGAAATTAGGTTTTTATATTGCTTATGCAGGGACATATTATACAATGAAGCGAGCTTATTGAAAGTAGTGCATCCTAACATTGGCGCCATCAAGGCGCTGCGGCGATGTTGTTTATATGTGTCCTTGAAGACGCTGTACGTGTTTGCTGAGATAAGACTTATGTTTTATTTAGTAAATACGAACTGGGTATCTTCTAGTCTACCATTCTCGAAAGCCGCTTTTCCACTTGTTGAAGTCCAAGGTTTTTTTGCTGTTACAGCCGCGTATGTTTCCATGGCACTAACATAGTTAGGCGCTTGTTGTTTTTGGCTAAAATAACTATTATTATTATTGTTACATTGCGTTTGCAGTCGCTTTTTTATTTTTTTTATAATTTTTGCTTTTTGGCATGCAGAAATTCAGTTCACATTTACATAAAGAGCAAAGCCAGTAGTTTCTGTAGTATTATTTATTATACGAGCAAAAGTTTATGTAATTACATACATGATGCAGCATATATATAGTGAAGTATTTTGGATGAATTAATATGTTGAAATTCATTTTTATGCAAAAAAATTGTTCCACTGAGACTCCAGACCATTTAAGCCGTCTTTTAAATGCGACACATGGATGTTTTTACCCCTGCCTGCGAAAATGAATAGCTGTTTAGCTTCTTCACCATTCCTGTTTACTTAAATATGTAACATGAAGAACGATTTGCTTTCACGTACTAACCATTCATAAATTTACAAACACGACGAGTCAGTCATACACACATATGTATGTATTGACATTTATATGCGTACTTATATATTCAAATGCAGACACTTGCAGGTACATGCAAATGTTTGCATGCACGTCTGTACATAAGTATACATAGATGGTGGTATATATATATGTATTTATACGCTAGACCCAATAATTAGAAACGACTAAGTCAGCGGGATGTTAGGAAAACTTTTTGCTCAATGAAAAGGAAACTGTCAGCATACAGACACAGCGCAGTAAGTGCCAAGGCAGACACTCGGCGCTTCATTTCACTTGACACACAAAATCCATTTCTTACTACTTATGTACATAGTTGGTTTTACTTTGATCCCATTTACATTGAATCACTTGCGTTGACTGTACACACTCGTTTTCGTCCCCGTAGCATTCCGACGTCGCGCATCTCACTCGAGTTGCCCGAAGTCATTTTACTTGAATCAAAGCAGTGCCTCGACAACTGTGGTTATTGGGCCAATTACAAAGACACGGCTTATGAGTGCTTTTTCCGTTTACTCTAAAATTATAAAATTTGCGTTTTTAAAGTGCTTTCCTTTCGAAATTTGTTTCCTGCAATGTTTTATTCGACTTTATTATACCCATGTGAAGAGGATTCAATTTTTTCATAAAATGTGTAACGTATAGAAGAAGACACATATTATCAGTATCATAGTCTATCAGTTTTAGAACTATCGTATCCAAATTTTGCATAGATCCGTCTTTCTATAGCTGGCAGTACATATGTCGCAACCGGCCGGATCAGACACCTATATCATATACCTTACATAGGAACGATCGGTAGATAAGTGGGTTCTAATATGGCAAAATAATATGTTTTCCAAGATATTTTCATCAAACAGGTTCTTAGAGCTTCACTATTCTTACATATCTGCCAAGCCGGAAGGATATTAAATCTTTTGCAAAAAAAAAGGTTTAATTGTTTTTCTTGACCCTTGCAGAGGATATTATAATGTACATATAGTCTTGTAGTAGACAAAGTATATATATTCTTGATCAGTATCAACAGCCGAGTAGATATAGCCATGTCTGTCTGTCTGTTTTTATGCTAACTAGTCTTTCAGTTTGAAATAAATAAAATAGCTGCCATGGGAACAATTGGTTGAAAATTACGTTTTTGTATGGAAAACTTTTTGTTTTTCGAGATATCCTTACCATACTCTTCCTTACCTATATTCCCCGTGCTTATTAGATACAAGCAAAGCACTGTAAGCATTATAAAAAGATTCGGTATTAAATCTTCGGCGTGCAGAAGATAGCCCTACTTTCTCGATTTTTGTTAAAAAAGTTTTGCAATAATTGAAATCAAAAATTGTGCTCATCTAAGAAACTGCTTCAAAAAACTTAAGATTATTTTTATTTTTTGCCAGTTGACACTTGAAGAAAATGAAGCAACTTAAAATGGCAAAAACAGCCGTAAGCTCAATGGCAATGAAGGCCAGGGTGTGTAAAAAACGGCAGTTTCTTACCAACCGGATCTTAAAATGGACAGTCAAAGCAATAATGAGAGTTTCTGCTCGGCTTCAGTGTGGGTGTACAAAAAACGTAAAAGCGTCTATATTAAAGTTTCTGCCTCAGAGTACCTTAATGACTTTGGCAAGTTGCAAACCTAAAGTTCATAACAGTTTTTTGTGAAGTGTATGAATATGAAATATTGCAATTGTAGGCCACACATACAAATGCACATTCCCGTCACCCGATGGCAGTAGCCAACTGAAACTAAATTCCCGTCTTACCTGCTTCATGCAACATTGTGTGCACTCCTTGCTATCTTTGGTGACACCTTGTGCAATTTATGTTCAAATTTCTAGCAACAGAAAGGCTGGAAAAAATGGCTCCGCCGCAAAACTTTTAAATGCGGTACATTATTCATAAATGTTGAAAGGAGCTTCAGGCTAAAAGTAACCAAGCGTGAGGAGTCGGTTATTGCGTCGTATAACGTGGTGGAGACATTTAAAATTAATTAACACAATGTTAAATATTTGTTGCACTTCAAACGCGAAATTCGAATTGAAGTTGTAAATATTTTATAAAGTACATACCAAGAACCAAGAGCAGGCCAACTAAACTGAACTGTACCGAACTGAAATGGTCAATATTTACTGTTGATTATAGCTAATTAATTAATAAGCAAACGCTTGTAAACATAATTTTAAATCAGTGTTGTTTGGTTGTGTGTATTATCTGCCGCAAAGACACAACAGCTCAACTAATTGCCCTTTTCTAGCCCATGAATCAGATTGGTATAAACGTACATATTTTTTTGTATGCCCTTGTAGAGGGTATTATAATTCTGTCATGAAATATTAAACGCATAGAAAACATGCTCACCCCATAAAGTATATATGTACATTCTTGATCACCATTAACAGCCGTGCTAATATTACCATGTCCGTCTGTTCTTCTGTCCGTCGGTTTAGTTGCAAATAAGCCCCTCCGATTGTAAGCTGAAACTTTTTAAAGGCCGGTGTTTCTGTTGTAGAAACTACATATGTGGTAACTAGCCGGATCGGATTACTATATCATATTGCTGCCATTGGAACAAACGGTCTTAAAATTAAGATTTTGTATACAAATTTTTTTGTGCATCCAGATATCTTGTTTAGTGCTTATATAAACCAACCCTAATTAAATAGCACTTTTATATAATATGGGAAGAATTATCGAAAAATTAGTTTCTGAATCGCAGAATATACTGCTACTCTAAATATTTTCACCATGCTCTGCATTAATTGGGCTGAGCTACTATCACATATTTGCAAGTTAATGTTTACAAGGGTCGGTTGATGGTAATATAGAATATATATACTTAAGGGGACGGAGATGTCTTCTTCTACGCGTTACACATTTCACGGAAAAATATGTAAACAAGGGTATAAAAGGTCGGTGCACAAATATATATCGGCCTCAAAGCGTATTTAATATTCGTACCGCTGAAGTTTGTTTTTTTCGCTCTGCTTTTTTCTAATATTCAAATATATAAAGATCGCTCGTTCATTGGCTTTGTTTGCTGCTTGCTTCTATCGAAAGAATTTTTGTTGTTGTTATTTTAACTAATTAAAAGAGAGAATTCCCGAGTGTATAGCTGGCACGCGATCATTCGAGTGAGCTTGAGAGAGTGTAGTGGACAGTTTCGTTTATGTTTTTTATTAGCATAAGATATTGCAGCAACAAACGTAAATATTCTCCTATATCTATAGATGTTCGGTGCTTTCCGTGAAATGAAAATGATTCGTTTGGAGCTATGTCAGTAGTACCCCGCCGACTGGTGCGCATCAGATCTGAGATTAGTCAGATTTTTTCATTTAATCTTATCGTCTCGGTGCGGTTGGTAGACAGAAATTTTTTTGTTATTCTCAGTTGTTTTCTATCAACCTTGGTGAAGTGTGTGGTGAAGTGTAATTTGTAAATTGTTTATTGTACTTATAGATTCAACACAATTTGCACTTATTTTTGAGTACATGTTTCTACGAAAACATTTGTAAATCGGGATTTTCCAATTCTGTGTAAAGGCATCTTTCTATAGTGTCGCTTTGGAATTGTGGACTTCCTAGGTGCTATAGTGCTAAAAATTGTGTTGACTTTGAATGATTGGTCAGCCCGAATTTTGAAACCTCAAAAATTTATCACTCCGCAAATTGCACAAATAAATTGTTCATAAATATGCCACAATCCTAGATTCGCTACTTAATAATAGTCTGTTTTAAGCTTATTAAATTTTACTACTTAATACCTCAATTGATTAGCTTTTATTTTTATATTGGAATTAATTAAATATGTTTTGCATTTGGAAGATTTTGAATGTGAGAATCAACTAACCTTCCTTCACTAATTTGCTAGTCGCATGATAGCTTGATCCATAACTGACACGTGATCATTTAACGCAATCAGTCATACTAAACTGGCAAAAACTGACACCAAATATTTGTAAGCAATTATCGTATCGGGGCTTTGTGATAAGTGGCGAGTCGATTGATTTGTCAAGGCAAATATGGTTCAGGGAAATGGAATGGTAAACCGGTCAGAAAAATCAAATCAAGTTTTGATTATTTACAATAAGCAAAATCGACGTTGGACTAATTGTAACAGTACTGGTACCTTCTTGAAAATATAAACCAATTTTAATTGAGCTTGAATCCTTAAGTCATTTCAATTATTAACTATTGACTAACTAGTAATCTCCTAGAGGCAGTATACATCAACTATGGAAATATTTATGTCTTCTACAACCCTAAGAAGTCCCTGTTGAAGTACAGTGATAGGTTGTTGTGCAACTACTTATAATGCCACATCTATCGCGTCGACATCGAAGACAAGCGGCAATTGGAGCATTTTAACCAAAATCAGTCCAAGACCTTTCCTTGTTACTTTCGACGTCACCTTTGCAGCTGCCGTCACAGTTGTCGCTACTTCGGCGCAATCAGCGACTGTCAATCTTTGTTGCAATCTTCAGTTTGCCATCTTAGCGCTGACTTCGCGACAACGTCTTAAGCATAAAGGTTGCTGAGGCTGCATTTTACAATTTAAACGTGATACATAACAGGGGGTTGCTGGTTACGCAGGGCACGGCAAAGCTGGCGTTGCTGTTGACGTTTGCAGGTGTCGATGGCGTCGCCGTCGCCATTGTGTTTGTTTTAGCTTTTGCCATTTAAGTTATGCATGAGTTGCACAGATGAATGCAAAATGGCTTAAATGTAGCATTCTGGCACTTATAACCAATTTGAGAGATCACAGCTTAGACAGGCAAGTGCACAGTAAGGACAATAAGAAAAAAAGGGTAGCATTTAACATATATATATATATATATATATATATATATATATGTTATGTTAAATGCTACCGTTTTGCCTTATTGTCCTTACTGTGGATATATATATATTTATATATATATATATATATATATATCCTCCGTTAGGATCAACATATACTACAATTTAAAATGTTTAATCCTGTTTGCTACTTACAGGCAAGCACATCAAGCAAAAAGTGCAGCTAAATACACTGGCGCACAGTGACAACATGACACAATGCGGCAACACTTCTGGTAGTCCCGCTTCGCAATCACATACCAAATTAGACATACACAATTTCTCGGAGGACTACAATAATGGGTCGTCTGAAGTCGTTGGCGAGAATGTTGGCGAGACGGCACAAAACGCTGCAACAATAATTTTAACGCCGACATCATTAAATTTAACAAACACACCGCCAAATGCGCCCGGTGGGGGTGGCGTTGGCGGCAGCAACATCAACAACAGGGCAAACGCAGACGTTGGCAACAATGACAGGGGTTATCCGGCGCACAGCGAACAATACAAAGGACCTAAATGGTAAGTCAAAAACGCATTAGGGCAAGGGCGAAGCCTTCACATTTTTGGGCGCCTGATGAGCTCCCAACTGTGTGTATATGTGCGCATTTGTTTAACTCTTTGAATGTACTTCCGGTACAGACAAGCCTACATGAACACGTGCATTGCACGCGTTTTTCGCATTGCCGTTTTATTAAGGTTCTTGCTTATTGTTATACATTACATTTTGTATTTTATTTATTGCAATTGATACAAAGGTTGCTATCGTCCTCACGAGTCTGTCTGCTACATTTCCAAGATGCTCTTCCGTTGCTGCGCAGAAATCACGGCCTTAGCTACTGCTTGGGTCAAATTTTCTAAGTGTGATGACCATATAAAAAGCTGGCGTTTCTTTGCTTAACTTTATAGCGTATCTTTGATATTATTATTAACAGCAGCAAGATATACAAAATATGTTAAGTTGTGGGACTACTATTGTAGGCTGCGATATATATTGAAATAGTATTTGTGTTAGTACTTCTTATAAATATTATAAAACTTTTGGTTAGTTCTGGTACTCTTGGTCTATTTTGACAAGTTTATGAGCAAAGCCAAAAAGCTGTACGCATTATTGATGGTCTGCGTACAAAAAAAAATGCAATATAGAATAATAAAAATAATATATTGTCTGTTAATACTTAGCTTATTTTGGAATGCGTACCTTCATAAATATTGGTAGTCCGATTTCAAAAAATACTCCCGCACGCAACTTTACGGGTCGTTTTAGAAGCTCCATGTAGCAGTTGAGAACTTTGCGAGTGGTTACAGAATACTCCAACCAATTCGTGTTAAATACGCTATTTGTAAGCTGCTTAGCACACACGGTTAGCTCGTTGCCGTAATAACAGGGCAAAAATATCTGAATGATCATCATGCAGACAAACTGCATAGTGGTTAGAAACACACCCGGATTTCGTTGCCAGCCCACTTGCACTAGCCGGTAACCACTAAAGCAGATGATAAAGGCGCTGAACACAACTTGGGAGAGGACGTATGGTGAAATCAACAGCTCGCACTGCTTTGTCAGGATGCGCACTCGCTGGTGAAGCTGAAAGATGCGTCGCAATTCTGGGAGAGCCTTCTCTTCGGGCGCCTCGTGCAATGCAAGGAATCGCTGACCTATAATGCGGTAAAGCAAAGCAATATGAAACATAAAGTAGCACCCTATCGTGTCCAGAAGGCAATTGGAAAGGCAGCACAGTGACATGGCCGCCGCGTTGTAGCTCCAGGCATAAAAGTAACCCTGTGGGTTATGCCACTCGAAGGGAACGTAATAACCGAACGGAAGTTCGTATGCATCCTGGTAGAACACGCTGATGTATCCTTGACAAGCTACAAGAAAACTTCCTCCAATATAACCGTAGAAAATTCGCTTAAAATGGTTTTGCTCGTGGCGCCAGAACTGAATTTCTCCTCTTAGCAATTTGTAGTGTCCATGTCTTTCCAGCTCATCCATTAACCGTAATGCCTGTACGCGCCTGTACCAAATGTTGATGACCTTTATGATTAAAACCACTTCTGTCACTGACATATACAAAACATTGCCCGCCTGTTCCATCCCTTTAGCAGTGAAGACTTCCAACCACATAAGCGCAATGTAGGTGAATGTCAATGGAAAATGTAATACAAAAGGATATATTCTCTTCAGTAATCTCCAGGAATCGTTTTCATTTCGCCACTTCCAGATGCCTAACCAACGTTGAACTGTAAGGACAGTTCGTATGCCGGATATGCGATCCGCACATTCAGTTGTCGACATATTAAGTGAAACTCGTGCCCCCTAATGATAAGCTTGCAGCTATAAATTACCTGCTTTTATAGACTTACTGAGCCCGAATTTCATACAAATGTTGTAAATACCCCTTAATACATATGTATATATTCATGTACATATATCCACACCAATGGCATAAAAGCTGACCTCAGATGTGTAGTAGTTCACCCTTGTCCCCTTCATAAGGATAGTTGTTCTGGGTTGGACCTTTCTTACTTTAAATACAACGCTTAGCACAGCTTAGGCAATAAGAGCTAGTTCCATTCGCCATCTCTGTTTACGAAAGCCAGCCCTGCTATGTTTTTTAATTGGTGTTCATATTGACAATTTTAAAACCAAAGCAATTACAATCATTAACATACTGACATAATGATAACGTTAATTGGTATTTATCGTATATTGAATAAGTCACGCAATTTCTGCCTGATATATTTTAAGTACGGTGGCTTAGCCGCAGTCAGTGCAAGGATAACTCTGACATAAACAACATGCCCGCGTGTACTCGTAAGAGTACAAACAATATTTTTCCTGTATATTTTATTTAAAATTTAAGGTCAGTTTTTTTGCTGACATTTCTAAACAATGTTGTAAATGTAAGGATGAATTTAGTCAATCCTTTAAGCTGTAAATTTGGTGTTTCAGAGAAACCCTAAAAAAATATTTAACTCCCAACTTGTACAAATTAAGCAGATTTCATTATTCGAAGTTCAATCCATCTTCCGATTATCAGTCTTGATAAATATGTCGATGTCAGGAAAATGAAAAAATATATTCAACGTTTTAGAGCTGTCTTCTCGATGGATATGTTTAGTTCTTAGTATATGATATATTACATTATATATATATTATTTAAATAGCATTAGTGTGTTTATTAAGCAATAGCTAAGCCAACATTTTATTATGGAAATTTTTAAACGTTAAGGATACACTGAACCCTCTTATTCCAACGCCAAAATGCAGTTCGCGCAACGCGCTCAACCCTTGGCAGGGTTCGAACTCGCAACTAACCGTATTACTTGCTGACGACTATACTCAACAGACGAACCAGCAAAAAAAAAATAATAGTTTCCCAGGTAGGGCTCGAACTCGGACAGACCGCAACACTTGCTATGCCTCTAATTAACAGCCACACTAATAATTAAGTATTTTCGAGAAAAAAACCTACTAAAATGCTGTTAGAGTGCGATAGAATGCGAAGGAGACGCGTATGAATGTGTGTGTGTACATGTATACACAAATTCTTGATGTTTTCGCTAGCTGTGCCATCCAATTGCGCAGTTACATATAACTTTGGTTTTCTCTTAATCGATCTTAATGAAATTTTCTACAGTATATCTAATTGTACCATAGAATATTTATGTTTTCTCAAAAAGTCAATTGCATTAAAATTGTGGCTTAGATTGGTGGCAATATAAGTTGGGTTATTAACTTGATTTATAGCTCTGCGGTGGTAGCGTACTTGATATATATATAATATTCTAGAAGCAACATATCATGTTTGGTGACTCTAGGTCTTATTATTTACAAACAAACTCAATCTGCGCAGGCAATAGGAGGACCTACATCTTAAATTTCTCTAGCTCTTTTAGGTTCTGAGATCCTTGCGTTCATACATACGGACAGACGGAAAGACAGACAGACGGACATGGCTAGATCGACTCGGCTATTGATGCTGATCAACAATATATATACTTTATGGGGTCGGAGATGCTTCCTTCTGCCTGTTACATACATTTGCATTTTGCACAAATACAATATACCCTTTTTACCCATTTTCAATGGGTTCAGGGTATACAAAATTTGAAGGACCATGACACTCAGAACGCTATAAACTGGCCGGGACTGGCCTGTATCCCAACGTGCTGTAGACGATAGCTACTAAAGCATATGATGAAGGCACACAAAACTATCTGCGAGAGAATGTAGGGTGAAACGAGTGTCTGAACCTCGAAAATTAATATGTAAAATTGATCAACAAATTTAGTTCTAGTTCAAGCATACGAAGATCGATTTGGTGACCTGCGTACGCGATCGTGTAACGTGAAGATCATCCGCAGCTCCTGCGTAAATTTCATATCGTTGTCCACATTCTTCAGCCCTTTCAGTCGCATGCCCAGCAATCGATTTATTAACGATAAATGAAACAATAAGTAACACCCGATCGTGTCCAGGGTCACATTTGAGACAAAGGTCTGCGTCATATCAGTCTTGTTGTAACCGTAAGCATAAAAAACCCTGGCCATCTTGTCACTCAAAAGGCAAAAAATAGGCAAATGGAAGCACATAGTCGTTGAGAAACAATACTCCCATGCTGCTGCTGTAGACAACTCCTACACTTATGAGCAGATATAAATAAAATCGCTATTTGAAGACACGCTGCTCATGGAGCCAATTGTTGTGTTCCTCCTGCGGCCAGGGTCAGACCCCGCAGAGTTGCATAATCCACAGGATCCAATGGATAGCTTGTGTGCGATGCGATTTGTTTTCCATTTCTATTCTGAAATATTCTGTACGACGGGTTTTTTATTTACCGGCGTGAATGGATAATTAGCAGCAATTAGGGTGTCATGAATTAAGAAACAAGCACAAAAGGCCATTTACGGAAATTATTTCTGGTCGTGTTTTGATGTTCTGCTAACGATAAGTTGACAGATATAAGCCAAGTTTGTTACATTTAATGTAGCTGATGCACTTATTTTTCGAAGGTGGCGTCGCTTATTAGTTCACTGGTCTCTTGTGTCGGAGCATATTGCCCTGCTTATGATTTTTCTAGCGCTTTGGACCTTGGCCTTGGCATTGTTACCACAGTATGCTACACCTGAAACAGTGATAATGCGTATTATACTACTCTTTGTTGGTGCTCAAATATCTGGCATATTAGTTACCTTTATACATTTGCCAGACATGCTGGGCATGCTCTTCTTCGGTGTCCTTTACACCAATATTGGCTTGGCCAATTTCGAAGGTTATGAGCGCTTTGAACTGTTTTTAAGGTAAGTGTGTAGACACCACCTGGCTAAATGCTATCATTAATTAGTTGACTTTGCAGAGAACTGGCATTGACCAATATCATGCTGCTAGCTGGTCTCGGTCTTGATGGCAGTGCATTTAGGCGGTTGTGGCTTATGATTCTCCGACTGACACTCGTTCCGACAATAGTGGAGGTTGCCGTTATAGCTGTGCTGGCCTATTTTACATTGTCCATGCCCTGGATGTGGGGGATAGCTCTGGGGTAAGTACTTACGAGGTATATTGGTTGAAAAATGTATCACGTGATTGTATTCTAGCCTGGTCATCACAGCAGTCTCACCCAATGTTGTCGTCACAGTCATGCTTAAGTTAAAGGAGGATCGCCTGGGTCTGAACAGTGGCATACACACCCTAATATACGCTATGACCACGTGCAATGACGTCGTAGCTATCTTCATGTTTGGCGTCGTAATCAGCATTATATTCTCCACAAGTACGTGCCACCCAAAAACCAACTCTCTGCTGTAATGCAAAAGAGAATAAGCATGCTTGCATACTTTCAGGCTCACTGACACAAAAAGTATTGCAAGGACCCATTGGTATTGGTATTGGACTTGTTTTCGGCTATCTTTACGGCATGATGCTTCACTATTTGCCGTCGCGGAATGCGGTAAGCAATGGGTGGAGCTCAGCACTGTTTCTGACGCCAGTACGAAACAGTTATAATATACTTTCACTGCATCGCGCTGCATTAAAAAAGTACATTCAGTGAGCACTTACTACACTCAATCAGCGCATTTAATGGCACAAAACTCGCGACACCGCAATGTTATTAGGTGGCGTAAGGCTCCGAAAGCTATCATACATACTACAATCCTTTCTTGGAAAACGTAGTGTGAGGCCTTAGATATTCAACACGTATGTATGTTATATACGTATATAAGAATATGTGTCGTTGTGCGTGTTTGTGCCTGGGCGAATTTTGCATAAAAACATGCTTACATCCATGCGACGACGATGTCGACGATGGCACTGGAGCTGGAGACATTTGCGACGACAGTTATTGCCAGCGTCCATGGAACTTATGGCATCTGTGATGCAGGCAGTTGCGATGCAAGCAGCGTGCGGCAACACAGCTTCGTTGCAGCCACAAAACTCATTGCCGCAACTTACACCGCTAATGGTGCGCATAATCAAACGCCATGGGTGGGACTGAATGGCTTTGAACTCGGAAATACACACGCCCTCACACATGTACATAAACATGGATCTTCACACAAGTGCATATACATAAACCCCTCATAACTTTTGTTTTTTCTTATAACCACTACGCGAAACTGCCGTCGGTATAAAAATGTCATGCTGTGTTCTTTTCAAGACGCACCACTTGCATTCATGTATATATTCGCAACTATCACTATTTATTGTCAGTGTGCATGTGGGTTTCTGTGGCTGCCATTAAGTCCTGGTTTTTTCTTTTCTTATTCTGTTCACTTACTTGTTAGAGTGTATCAGTTTTGTGCCCGTGATGCTGACCGCCCGTCTCTCTGTATGATCGTCGTCGAGAATTCAATCTTGGAATGTATGTCAAGAGAAAAATATACACCTTTTCTTTAATGTACTAAGAAAAAAGCATTTAAATGCAACTAGTGAACAAAATTAAAAACTGAACTGATTTGAAGTATTTCGATTTCGATGTCTATCAAAAAACTGGAGATGAACAGTCGTCTCCAGATTTCACTGTATGTTGTATTTAGGATACAAATACATTTCTAGTTTTGATACTTAACTAAAATTTAAAAAGCTTCGTCCGCGTTGTTTGTAATTTAATGATTTTATTATAGTACTTAGTTGTTAATTAACTTCACTTATGTTGGTACACGTCACTTGTGATATTGTTCTCAGTTGCTAGCTAAAACCCGGTTGAGTAAATGCATACAGTACATATTAGGTTTATTTGAACACCCATACACAATTGTTTGTTTTGTAGTACACAGAATATGTTAAAGAACTTGCTTTAAGCAAAGGCGCTTGTATATCTGCTTGTATATGAATGAGCGGGGCTAGAAGTGTTCACCATCGACTTAGCACACTTGCTTATCATTGAAATTATTTTCCTTTTCATCCATCATATCCAGGTTTATGCAAATGGACTGCGCTTTGCTTTGACAATCTTGGGTGGCTCAATAGCTGTAATGGGCAGCCGAATTATCGGCTATACTTCGGCCGGTGCCTTAGGTTGCGTAATGTTGGCCTTTATAGCTGGCATTGGTTGGAAAAGGGAGGAGCTCAAACTGACCCCATATCAAATGCAAGCACATCAAATAGTAAGTACCCAGCTCGTCAGCGTTGCCTTTTATAGCATATTTAGTGTATAAGCAAAACTTTTTTTATT